AATCTCTGTGTATTTAAGTCTCAAGACCATTTTTTAATGTTTATTTATTTTTTTTAGAGAGAGAGAAGACAATGTCAGTGGGAGAGGGGCAGAGAGAGATGGAGACACAGAATTTGAAGCAGGCTCCAGGCTCCGAGCTGTCAGCACAGAGCCCGACGCTGGGCTCAAACTCACAAACCGTGGGATCATGACCTACCTCAAGTAGGACCCTTAACCGACTGAGCCACCCAGGTGCCCCTTAGGACTTTTTAAATGGATATAAAATAAAAAAAATTTTTTTAAGTGAGCAAAAGCAATGTATCATGGTTTATTTGGAACAATTACTCCCTTAGAACATAAATTATCAGTGGGGGCAATATTTCTCCTAAGGTGGTAAAAATCGATCCTGGGGGAGGGGCGAGGAAGGGATGAAAAAACCTTAGATGTTTCAATGGCTCGCGGCCCAATCCAAAACTCAATCCTCCCTGACAAAAACTCCTTCATTGTTATTTAACTTCTCTCATTAAATTAAATTAAACTAAGTTCCCTTTAGGGGGTGATGATGAAAAAAAAAGGTTGAGAAATGCTGTCGTAGAGGTGTATAAAATAGTGACACATGTTACAGTGGATGGCCTGGTGCTTGGCGACAAAATGTAAAATCAGGATGGTTTGTGGAACGGGGCGGCCGTGGGAGTGAATGAGATGATCCCCGTAAATCCGTGTGAAGTATTAGCTGTTGTTATCCGCACCCACGGCGGCGGCAGCCACCGCAATTTACAAAAGAGGAAAGAAGGTCAGAGAGATCAGGCTGCTTCCTGCAGGGCACACAGCATTGGAAGCCCCAGAAAGGAGCCGCACGGCTCCTGGGTTGCCTGGGGCAGAACAGATCTCCCCAAATGAGTCGGTCCTATTCCTCCCTGGGGAGCTGGTTCTGTCAACGGTGGGAGGATGGCCCCCGCGCAGGCTTGCCCCGACGGGCAGCACCAGGAAGCTCATTCTCTCCGATTCCTGAACGCGAAAGGAGCCTACAGCCGGAGAATTGGGCAGTCGCTTGCTGCCCCCTGCCGGCAGAACTGGAAATGTCAGGCACCGTGCCCTCCTCTGGCCTGATAAGGGCGGAGGGGGAGGGGGGGTGGGGGTGGGGGGGAGGGGGGACGGTTGCTTCTCCCTCTCCTCCGTGCTCCCTCAAAAGTCCTCGGCACAATTTGGGCAAGAGCAGACTCAATTAAAATGCACAAATGTACATAGTCTTGGACCTAGTAATTCCACTGCCGCGGATTCAGGCCGCTTGGAAAAGTGAGCTAAGATTTGTGGGCCCGTAGATGGGCTTTGGTTAGGGAGGGCCTGGCTCTGCCACAGGACATCCAGCCTTTGAGGAAGGTGGGTGGAGGTAATTGGGGCCTTAAAAGGAGCTTCAAGACATTTTGCTAGATGAAAAACTGAAGATAGAAATTTAAAGAAAACATTGTGCAGACACACAGATGTGGGCATACACACTTTTGTGCTGAAAAATATAAAAATGAAATTGACCATCATTTTGGAAAGAGGTGGGAAGAGAAGTTTCTACGTTTTTGCTTTCTTTCTTCTTTTAGCTTTTTCTGTACTGTGCGGTTTTCTCACTTGGGACATGTGCATGTGTATATATGTTTAATGTCAGCAGAGGATTATGGGACATCTGGAGTTTCTTCTCTGCATCCCTCAGTGTTTAACTCCACATACAAAGGCAGTCACACGGAAAAGGTCAGTGATAAAGCGAGTATAGAATAAAATCCCATTTTATTTTTAACATCCCAGGTAATAAGAGACTGGATTTAGAGAAATCAAAACAATAGCAGACATTATTTCCGGATGGGAGTGATTACTGTCTTCTTTGGGCTTCTCAGTACTTTTCCAATTACATATTCTGCATTGTTTGCATATCTCTTGTAATCAAATACAAATAAACAGATGGACAACACTGTGAATGTATTTAATGCCAATGAGTTGCACAGTTTGAAGTGGTTACAACAGTACGTTTTGTGTATTTTACCGTGTTGGTTATTGCAAAGTCACTTTCCTTTAAGGGACAGTGGGGATCTGTAATCTGGCAGATGACCCAACTAGTGCTGATCGCTGATTGGAGGATTCCTGACTGACGCATTTAAGATATCATTTCTTTTTTTAAAAAAATTTTTTTAACGTTTATTTGAATTTTGAGACAGAGAGAGACAGAGCTTGAGCGGGGGGGGAGGGGATGGGGGGGCAGAGAGAGAAGGAATCACAGAATCGGAAGCAGGCTCCAGGTTCTGAGCTGTCAGCACAGAGCCCCACATGGAGCCCGAACTCACGAACCTCGAGATCATGGCCTGAGCTGAAGTTGGCCACCTAACTGACTGAGCCACCCAGGCGGCCCTAAGATATCATTTCTTTCTTTTCTTTTTTTTTTTTTTTAATGTTTTATTTATTTCTAGGAGAGAGAGAGACAGCATGAGCAAGGGAGGGTCAGAGAGAGAGGGAGTCACAGACTCTGAAACAGGCTCCAGGCTCTGAGCTGGCAGTCAGCACAGAGCCCGACGTGGGGCTCGAACCCACGAACCGTGAGATCATGACCTAAGCGAAAGTCGGACGCTTAACCGACTAAGCCACCCAGGCGCCCCTCATTTCTTAAGAACTAAAACTGTAATGCAGTTAAGTCTCTGTTTGGTGATGTGGGAGTTAGCATAAGGTATTTGGAGCCTGCTGCCTTGCTCTCTCTTTTTTTAAATGTTTATTTAGTTTTGAGAGAGAGAGAGCGAGAGAGAGAGCGCACAAGCCGGGGAGGGGCAGAGAGAGATGGAGACAGAGAATCTGACGCAGGGTCCAGGCTCTGAGCTGTCAGCACAGAGCCTGACGTGAGACTCAAACTCATGAGCAGTGTGATCATGACCTGAGCCAAAGTCGGATCTTTAACTGACTGAGCCACCCAGGAGCCCTTTGCTTTGTTTTATTAAAGGTGAGACGAGAGGCTAAGGGAGATGAGAGGCTATTCTTTCCAAATCAAGTTCTGGACCTTCCATGTATTCACTTGAGGCCTATGTACTACTTAAAGTGACAATGCTACTATGTATCACATTCAAAAACGAGAGAAAAGTTGTAAGTCCTGACAAGCATTTTCATCCAGGGCCAGAGGAAGATGGCCCACACTCAAACACAAAGCTTAAAGGGATAGAAGGAAACACAAATGAAACGGTTTCAGTTACAACAATAGTTTTGCTTGTTCAGTAAGCAAATTACTTGGACATAAGGGAAGTAAAAAACCCAACTCATGGGAGCCCCAAGTGTTACAGCACTGGTAGATCAGGGTTTTCAGTGCATCCTGTGCGACTATTTTCTCTTACCAAACCCTCAGAACAGACTGGCTGAGACTCAGCATTTCACGCTGAGAAAAACCAAACCTTGCTACTATTCTACTTCCAGTAATGAAGGCATCAGGAGTGAGCCCAAGAGAAATGAAACTAATGTCCATACAAAGACTTATGCCAGTGTTCACAGCAGCTCCTCATTAGGGCTCCCAACTGAAAACAACTGAGATGTCCATTCACAGAGGAGTAACAAAATCAAACTTATTTATACAATGGAATAACACTTAGCATAAAAATGAAGTACTTTTATACCCAACATAAGGAAGAATCTCAAACACATTATGCTTGTTGAACGAATTCTAGCTCACGGGGCACCTGGGTGGCTCAGTCGGTTGGGTATCCGACTTCAGCTCAGGTTCATGGTTCATGGGTTCCAGAATGGCATTGGGCTCTCTGCTGACAGTTAGGAGCCTAGAGCCTGCTTCAGATTCTGTGTCTCCCTCTCTCTCTGCCCCTCCCCCTCTAGCGCTCTGTCTCTCAAAAATAAATGTTAAAAAGTTTTGTAAAAAAAATTAAAAATTAAAAAAAGAACTCTAGCTCAAAAGAATGTATGTAGTATAATTCCATGTATATTAAGCTTTTATAAAAGATTAATCTGTAGTGAGAGAAAACAGATTTGGAGTTGCCTGAGGAGCACGATGGGGGAGGGGATTAACTGGGAAGGAGAACAAGGGAGTTTGTAGGAATGGAATGTTCTAGATCTTGATTGTGGAGGTGATTATGTAGGCACGTAAATGTGATGATATTCATCAAAGAGTACAACTAAAATGACTGCTTTTACTGGGTATTCATCAAAAAGCACAATTAAAATGAATGCATTTTACTGAGTATAAGTTATACCTCAATAGGATACATCTTATTTCTTTTTCTTTTTTGAAGTGGGCTTCATGTCTAAAATGGGCTTGCACTCACTACCCTAGGATTAAGACTTGCATACGAGGGGCACCTGGGTGGCTTAGTCGGTTAAGCATCCAACTCTTGATTTCCACTCATGTCACCATCTGGAGGTTAGTGGGATCAAACCTCGCTATCAGCACAGAGCCTGCTTGGGATTCTCGTTCTCCCTCTCTCTTCTTTATCCCTCCCCAACTGGTGTTCACACATGCACACTCTCTCTCTCAAAATAAATAAACCTAAAAAAAAAAAAAAAGTCGCAGGCTCCACCGACTAAGCCATCCAGGAGCCCCAATAGATTTAAATTTTTTCCAAATGCAATTGACATGTATTTCATATAATGGCACCATTGACCCAAAACTGAAAAACTAGTAAGTACTGATTAGGTTTACAAAACTAGATTATCTATCAAACTTTCAAAATACAGCAGTAAAAGGGAACAGAACACCCAACTGCAGGCGAAAACAATCAGGAGGACACCGCGTTTCAGGAAATGGGGTTTTGTAACACCAGCTTGGCAGATCCGGGGGCCCAAGGCCGGAAAACCCGGAACTGGGCTTGAAAGCCGGAAGTGTGGCAGGAGACCGGATGCAAAGGATGAGGTCGCGCCGCACGCTTCAGGCCCCACCCACAACTGAAAAGTGTGGCCCTGCTCTAGATGCCAAGAGCGCACGCGCACCCCTCGCTCAGCCAATCAGGACGAAGTGAGGCGGGCATTCGGGAGGAAATAGCGTTGTCAAACCGGAAATGTGGCGGTTTACCTACACAACTGCAGACGGCGTCATGGCGGCCTACGAGCAAGTTCAAAAGGGGCCCCTGAAACTGAAAGGCGTTGCGGAGCTCGGCGTGACCAAGCGGTGAGTCCCCAAGAGGACCGCGAAAGCTTGTCTTCTGTCGCCTTAAGCGTCTTCTAGAGTCCCCGAGCTCTTGTCCCCAGATCCGCCCTCACCTCCTCTCCCCCCTTGTCCCCTCCCAGGAAGAAGAAAAAGAAGGACAAAGACAAAGCGAAACTCCTGGAAGCAATGGGAACGAGCAAGAAGAACGAGGAGGAGAAGCGGCGCGGCCTGGACAAGCGCACCCCGGCCCAGGCAGCCTTCGAGAAGATGCAAGAGAAGCGGGTAAGGCGAGTGGGGAAGCTGGGGATGCCCCGCTCAGCGGGTCTGCGTCTCCCGACGTGGATGCAGAGACAGAGCCGGGCGACTCGGAATTGGGGTCAGCCCGGGACGCTCGGAGTGGTGGCGAGCGGTCAGAGAGACCTTAATTCCGGGAAGAAGATGCTACGTGGGTGAGGAAGAGTCCGAGGAGGGGGAGCGCCTCTGGCTTGAGTGCATGGCAGAGGAGAAAGCTAGAGCTGGCGTCGAAGGAGGCCAGAGCTGGGGATCGAATTTGGATTTCAGCGCAGTCTTTAATTTGTCTAGTGACCCTGGGCTAATGACTCATTTTGTCTCTGCCTCAGTTTACTTATCTGGAGGGGTCAGAAGAGTGCTTTCACATAAAGAGGGTGGGACCTTTAGATGAAGTCATACAGATAAAGCATTTAGTTCCCCGGACTGTCACAAAGTCAGTGTTCAGTTGACGTTAGCTGTTGATGTTAAATGGTCACGTCTCTGCTGTAAGTTTCCACGAAGTCTGTTTCCGTGATGATTTGTCAGGTTTAAGTAGGTTGTATTTTAAGGTTTCAATAAGTCACTTCTTTTATTTAGTTACTTTTTAATTCTTTTATAGTTGTTTTTTTGTTTTTTGCTTTTAGTTTATTTTGAGAGAGAGAGAGAAGGGGGAGAAGCAGAGAAAGGGCGAGAGAGCCAGAATTCTAAGCAGGCTCTGCACTGTCAGCACAGAGCCTGATGTGGGGCCCAAACTCCAAAATTGTAAGATCATGACCCGAGCTGAAGCCAAGAGCTGGGTGTTCAACCCACTGAGCCACCCAGGCACCGCAGTAAATAGCTTCTCTTGATGTTAAACACAGTACATCTGGACAGTAGGGGACAGGAGATGTTAGCATAGGATAGATAAGCTCAGCCTGGTATCTGGGGGGAGGGAATAATCAGGTTGGTGGTTCTCGGCGGGGTACCGTTCTGTATCCTGCCTCCACCCTCAACAAGACAGCTGGCAGTGTCTGAAGATACATTTTTGTTCGTTAAAACTGGGAGTGTTGGCGAGAGGTGGGAGTAGTGCTCCTGGCATCTAGTGGGATGAGGCCTGGGATGCTTCTCAGCATCTTACAGTGATTAAGACAGAACCCGCCGTGGCAAAAAAAAAAAAAAAGTGATCTAGCCCCAAATATCAAGTGTCCATGCTGAGAAACCCTAACCCTGGTCTGGGTTATTTGGTCCAGTAACATCAGGAAGAGTTAAGCCCTTACTCCCAGGCCTAATTGAGTCATTAAAAAAAAAAATGGTGAAACACACTGGCTTTGGCAAGACCAACCTGGATTCCATTCTGTCTCTACCGCTTCTTGGTGGTGGTGTAGCTCTGGGCAGGTCGGTTAACCTCCCACACCTCAATTTTCTTTGTCTGTAAAGTGGGGCTGAAGTCCTTACCTAACAGGTTCGTGGTGAGGATTTAACAAGCGAATGCACTTAGATTCCTTCCCTGAGGTTAGATCACAGGCTAGCCCTGGGGTGTTATTCCTGTGGGGGGAGGAATAACCATCCGGTGACCGAGAAAAGCGGCCCAGAGCTGGACAGTAATAGTGGAAGCGATGGAAGTTACCAGGTTTGGGATGGATTTTGGAGCAAGAACAGCAGGATTCGTTGGTGGATTGGGTGCGGGCTGGGAAAGAATGAGGGATGACTGAGATTTTTGGTAGCAGTTGCTGGGTGAGTGAAGGCGCTATTTACAGTAGTAAGAAGGACAGTAGGCTCTAAAGTGGGGCATCAAGGCCTTGGTTTTCGAGCAGTTATGTTTGAACACCTGTTAGAAGTTCAGATGGAGAACTCTCGTGGACAGGGTGATCTCTGAATCTGCAGTTTGGAGGAGAGGTCTGGGCCTCTCCTGCAAACCTTCTGGAATTGCTGCGAGGAGATCCTCTGACAGGATGAGAGCCTCTGAGGAGGGACAGTGACAGAAAAGAGGTCTAGAATCTGAAATTGCCCAGGATCACTCACAAGGAGGAGGAAAACTGGGAGAGAGTGTCCTTAGGAGCTGAGTGCAGAAAGGGTTTTAAGAAGGAGGAAGTGATCAACAGTGTCATTTGCTGCCGAGAGCTCTTGCAGGGTGACAGCCGAGAGCCCGGAGCTGGCATTTGGAATGAGGAAGAGAGGCTGATGAGAGGGGATCCCAGGGCGGGGTAGGGAAAGGCAGAGGTGGAGACAGGATGCACGAATAAGTCCTGGGAGACCTAGCAAGCGGAATGGAGAAATGAGAATATAGCTGGCGGGTGGGGGAAGGTCAAGGGGAAATTTTTGTTGGTGGTGCTGAAAACCGGAAGCACTGCTGTGGATTTTGTTTGAAACAGGAGAGAAGGGAGGATGTGTGGGCGGCGGCAGGTGGAAGGGGGACACGCGGACTCCCTGGTGGGAGAGAGCTCTGTTGAGCACAGTGAGCACGAAGGCTGGACAGCTCTGGGAAGAAGGGCCCTTGGGGCCGGGTCCCAGCCTGAAGGGGGTGGGGGTGGGGCTTGGGATCTGCCGCCCCGTCGTCCGTTGTGCACGCTGTCTGTGGAGTGGGGGTGGCGCCAGCACACACACACCCTGTGAACTTGGTGCATGGAGTGGGGAGAGGGAGGGCAGAGCCCCGCCAAGTGCCTGGCATTGATCTCAGCTGCTCAGGTGAGCGTGCGAGGAGGCACAGCCCTCGCGTGGGCTCACAGCAGTAAGGGGAGAGGCAGGGAGGGGAGGGAAGCGGAGGGGCAGGCAGGCGGGAGCCCGCTGGATGGAGAGGAAGATGAGGCAGCAAGTGAGATGGAGGAGGACCGGAAGGAGCAGCCAGGTGGCAGGTGACAGTCGCCTTCTGCTTCTGTGGGCTGACTCGGCTCAGCTGGATAGTTCTTCCTCCTCACTAGGGATCTGTGCTGTCATGGCAGCCGGGGTCGGAGGCCCAGCTGGGCCGAAACCGCCAAGATAGATCGTTTGACCATCCACATCCGGGCTCCTCCCGTGGCCCCCTCCGCACATGTCATCTCATCTCCCAGCTCCTTTCTTTCCAGTGAGGTCTTCAGACCTCAGCATGGTGGCCGGCTTCCAGGAACACAAAGCGAAGGCTGCCGGGTCTTACCGCTTTGGCCCAGCACGGGCACTGCGTTCTGATAAGTAAACTGAGTCACAGGGCCAGTCCAGAGTCATTGCGACAGAGAACCACACTCGGGCACCAAGACCAGGCGGCATGGTTCACGGGGGCGGGCATCAAGGTCGGCCACAGTCACCCAGTCAGTAAACGTTTTAAGTTTATTTTTTATTTTTTGAGAGAGCACATGTGCAGGCGCCAGGAGGGGAGGGGGCAGAGAGAGGGAGAGAGAATCCCAAGGTGGCTCCGAGTGACAGTTCAAAGCCCCACATGGAGCTCCATCTCATGAACTGTGAGATCATGACCTGAGCCGAAATCGAGAGTCGGACGCTTCACCGACGGAGCCGCCTGGGTGCCCCTGCCCTTCTCATTTTTCATCCTTCTTCAGGCCCCGTGGGAAACTGTCTCTTCCTGCCAAATGGGAACGCGGCCACTTGCCCAGGGATGCAGGAGGCACACCTACAGCTCCCAGCAGAGTCTCCCCATGTCAGTGCTGGTACATTGCTTGACTCTGACCGCAGGGCAGCTGACCTGGGCTCCTGGTGGGATAGGCTGTGGCCGGGCATCCCTGTTGGACCAGCCTGAGTAGAGGTGAGGGAGGGGCGAGATGTACACTTGAGACCTCCAGCCATTCCAGGGGTGAGAGCCAAGCTGGCGGGGGCTTCCATCTCTGCCCCACGCAGGCCTGGCCTGGGTCGAGTGTGTGAACTCACCTGTTTCTCTTGTCTCTTCAGCAAATGGAAAGGATCCTGAAGAAAGCATCTAAAACCCACAAGCAGAGAGTGGAGGTAAGTCACGTGCCCATAGGAAAGACCAGGCTATGTGGGGTCCCGGCCAGGCCCAGAGGCTAGGAGCCTGGTAGAGGGAGCCATTGGAGTGTTGGGCGGGGCGGTTACCCAGCAGATGCAACACCTCCCTGGGTCATGTAAGGATGAGCCCAGGGTTCGGGGCCGGGTGGCTTTCAGGGGAGGGGGCTCACCAAGGAGAGGCAGGATGTGGAGTCAGGAGTGGGCGCTGTCTCACAACCCCACTGCCCTGCGCGAGGCTGTGCTGATGTGGGATTTGTCCTCGGCTTCCCCAGGATTTCAACAGACACCTGGATACTCTCACGGAGCACTACGACATTCCCAAAGTCAGCTGGACGAAGTAGCCTCCCCACCCGGGATGTGGAGTGGCATCACGGGCAGATGGAGGGCAGAATTGGGGCTATGTTTGGTGCCTTCGATATTTTCTAGAAACATCCTTTTACACACGCCCTTGCGGCTTCTGCTGAGACAAGTCCTGGCCAAGGCAGTGTGCCCTTGTTCTGGAACTCAATTAAAGTAAGACTGTCCTTTTACTCTATTTTGGTTTCTCGGTAGCATAGAAGAAAACCTTTTTTCAGTTTGGACTAGGAATTTTTTAAAAGTGTATCCAGAGATTAAGGTTATTTCTGTGGGTTACAGAAAAGGGTCTTTGCCCCCAAACTGCATCTGGCTCTGACAGTCAGCCATCTTTTCTTGGATGAAACGGACTCCAGGGGATGAGGAGCTAATGCTCGCGTGGCCTGCAGCTTACCCCGCCAGGCCCTGCGTGAACTCTCCTTCCAAGCTTCCTTCTGCGTGGGGCTTATGCTGTTCCTTCCAGAGACTAGGGAAGCCAGTTGGACCTTCTTGGCCTTCAGAACGTCTCTCAGCCCCCCGGCGTGTGAGACCACGCAGCCTGGGAAGCAGAGCCCCCGCCAAAGGCAAGGATGAAACGTACGCCTTGTCCCTGTCTGAGCCCCTGGCTGGCTTGCAGCCGCTTCCCCTAGAGCCCCCATTCCAGAGGCATCTAGAAGGTGTTGCCCTGGCAGACCTCTCTAATCAGACACAGCATTTTTGTAATGGAACCCGGACACAGCCTGCTCACTGCCCTCTACCCTAGGCTCTGAGCAGCCTCTGTGTTTATTCAGAGCTTCACTGGGCATGTAGCCTGCTTGGCATTTCTGGCCTAAGGACACCTGGCAGGGTGGGGTTGTGGGAGCAAGACCTGGGCTGAGCCCTGGCACTGACAGTACAAAGGGGAGGACCCAGGTCCTGGTGCCGGAGAGCCGGGATCTCTTCTGAGGACCTACGTGTCCCTACCTGGTGAGGCTCAAACCACACATACTTCTGGGAGGAAGTCCCAGGTAGTGAAAGGATAACAAAGTCAAAAGAGGAATCCCTTAGTGTTGGGTTTGGGGCTGTCACGGTGAACAGAATAAAGCAAAAAAATCGTTACTAAATAGAAGTCTGAGTGTCTTACTTATACAAGCAGTTTGATTATCACCAGAAAGGCCACTTTGGGGGCTTCTTGCACATGAAGAATGTGAATACTGCAAATGACCGCTCACCCCCGCTTCGGAAAGAAACAGGTGACCTGTTTTCCCGCCTGTGGTTCACAGCCCACCTGGGAAGTTATGCACTGTCTGGTTAACAGTGGCTCTTTGGGGCAGCTTCCCCTACTGCCTCGCGGAGAGGCGCTTTGAGGCTTTTCCATCCATAAGCCAGCGGTTGGGGTTTGTGAGCGTGATGTGCTGTGCGTAGCCTGTGCCAGGAACGGCGGAATACAGATGCGCCATCTCCCTGCCTGCACATCTGAAGCTGACCCACCTTGAACAGCAGGATTTCTCTTCAGCTGGACGGTTCTGCGCCATGTGGTGTGGTTCACTGGTGTAGCTACATTGACTTGCCTGGGCTGGAAAGTCCAAGGCGGCTTGTCCTCCTCCAGAACCTCTCCGTGTTGTCCCTTCTTTGGCCAGCACGAGTCACACCGCCAAACCCAGTCAGGGAGAGAGCTCTGTGGGCGCAGACGCCAGGAGATGTGGTTTACTGGGAGACGTCGCTGTGAGTCTAGCACAGTTTCCAAAACTCTTCTGATTGTTAGACCTTCCCGGGAGAGTCTAGAACCACTGATGCCGGCTGGGGTGGTTCAGTTACTGAGATTTTTCAGAGCTCCTCAGATGATCCTAATAGGCAGGAGAGCCTGAGAAACCCTGATCTCCCACAACGGGTATGGTCTTTTCTGAGATCGTGCAGAGTTCAGATCTGGCTTTACACACCAAGTGTGAATGCCAAGGACGAAAATCAGATGTGACCTGAATTCCCCCACATACGGAGAAAGGAGGTTGCGAGTAACTCAGGTGTAGAGTGTGTTTACCGTGATGGTACTTCTGGCACGTGGGAGCCTGTTTTTTCAGGAGGCTTTTGTCCAGTCTAGTCCTCCCCATCACCCCCCCATGCTGATTTTTAAACATCTAAACAAAATGCCTAGAGCAAGCCCTGATGGGGAGGAGTCACCTCTCCTGGGCGGTTTTTCTTTTTGTCTTACTTTTTGGCATTTCCTCAAGTTCCCCCCCAGTGGGATTTATAATTTTGTAATTTTATAAAAACATGTTTTCCTGAAACGTTGAAATAATTTGGGCGCAGTATGAGGATAGGGCGTTTTACAAGATGATTGTCAAAAACCCTCTCCTGGCCGTTTCGTTTGGTGCTCAAGAATGCTTCCAGCCCAGGATTTACTTAGTAGTCTAAATATTTCAGTTTTCTCCTCTGTTTTTTTTTTTTTTTTCTAGCACTTAATCTCTATCCTAAGCAGGGGATACTGGCAAAAGCCAGCTTTCAAAACCCCAAAGGAGATAGGAGGGAAGATTAAAAATCAGGCAGGCAGCCTGAGTGAATGGTTTTGATACTGCAGGTCTGGGCTCCCCAGAGCACAGGGATGGTTCACTAGGACAAAATGCTGGCATTTCGCCACAGCCTGGGTGTTCATAAGTGATGAGGTACTCAATTGATTAATCGGGTTACGGTTTGCATCACCGACTGCCGTCACCAACTACAGAAATGAAGTAGATGCTTTTCACCTCGGTTCGGTGGAGGCGTGGTTTTCAGGTCATTCCAGCCAATAAACAGGCACTGATGAGTGTCGACACTGACAGGTGGCAGGTAGTGACCCTTGATAAGACTTGATTGCCATTCAGAGTTTGTTTAAACTTTTTCCCAGGTAACCACCGCCTTCCCCTTCCCCTAGAAAGCGTATTACAATTGGTAACTATTTCCTAGAATCCCTCACCAGACTGTGAGTTTCATGTGCCTGGGCCCCAGGTGGGGTTCCACCAACGGTATGTCCCCTAACTTGGCCCACGAAGGCGGAGCGGGGTTTCCAGCTGCCCCGGCTTGTCTCCCAGCCTGGCGGCCAGAGTGCGTCCTTTCAACCAGCCCCCCCTGCTGCCGCGCGCCCCCGCCCCTCTGGGCCTCACTTCCGGGATGCTTGAGGCCGGAGCGAGAGATAAGGGCACATCGAACGTACCGCGCCTGCGCGCACCCCACCTCGCGCCTGCGCCTCCCTGGCAGCCCCTCCCCGACCGGACATAACGGTCCGCGCGCGGCTTCCCAGGCCGGAAGTGGAGGCGAACTGTCGCGGGGCACGCCCGGCCTTGCTCAACGCCCGGCAGTCCCCGCCGTCGCCGCCGCCCTCGGCAGCTGCCGAGGCTTCCCGCAGCCGTCATGTCCGCCAGCGCCGTCTACGTGCTGGACCTAAAGGGCAAGGTACAGATGGCTCCCCACCCTCCCCGTTGCCAGGCAACCGGTGGGGCCTCGCCCCTTTGGGGGGGGTGGTGAGACCCACCCTGTTGCTTGGTAACCGGCCAATGGGACCCACCCTAGTCTTAGGCGGGGAGGCCTATCGAGCTCACCTGAGGGCCCCACCCTGTTGCTAGGGGACCAGGCGGGGGTTTCGAGCCCCGAGCCCCGCCCTGTTGCTAGGTAACGCCGCTGCACGGCCCCCCTCCCGCTCTGGGCCGGGTTCTCCAGCCTCCGTACGGGCGTCCCGGGAACCCGTGGTAGCGGGAGGGCGGCCCGCAGCAGGCTTCGAAGCTGGGACTGGGTCTCAGGGGCCGGGCGACCCTTGGACCGAGGTGGTGAGGCGTGTCAGGGACAGTGCGCCCTCGGGCCGGCCCTGCCCTGTTTATCCTGCGACTTTTCTTTGCCGGTCCCTGTGAAAATCTCTTAACGTTCAATATGACGCTGAGTTAGTGAAGTGAGTGGTGGGAGGGCCATTTTACAGAGGGAGAAACCGAGGCACACAGAGACGCGCAACTTGCCCAAGGTCACGCCAGTCAGGGTGGCAGGTCCAGGAGTCAGCTGGTATTTGGGGAGCACCTACCAAGTGCCATGCAGGATACTTAGGCTTGGGCTGCCTTTGGTGAGCAAAATCGGAGCCGCCCATGTCCTTCTGGAGCTCCCCGTCTGGTGGGAGAAAGGGACACTGCTCTTTCAAAGCACAAATCAATGTCGGTTGCAGTGATGAAGCAGTGAGGATGTAATAGGAGACTGTGCCTGGGCTGGGGGGTCGAGGAGGGCTTCCGGGAAGGAGGGGCAAATCTGGCTGAGACCTGAACAGGGTCCCAAGGGAACCTGGGAAAACTTCTTAGAGGGAGGCATCTCCAAGCCTTTCACAGTGGGCTCCTGCTTGCCCCCAAAGCGTCCTGGCTGGAAAGCAAGTGAGTACCTGGGAGTAACAGGAACGGTACCCACAATGTTGCACAGCCCCGCATGGGTCCCCGAGAGAGAGGGGTGGGTGTCGGGCCTAGGTGGGGCAGGTAAGAGTTAGCTCAGAGCAGTGGGGAGTGAAGAGGTGAAGTGGCTGTCCCTTCCCGGAGTACCATGCTCTAGAACTTTCCAAGAGTCCCTTGAGTGGGTTGCCTGCCCTGGATGCCACCCAAAGTCAACAGCCAGCGAGGCCCGGTGCTGGGCTCCCTTCCCCAGGCCTCAGGCAAGGGATCATACACAGGGCACGCAGGGGCTGGGTGGGTACAGAGCGTTCCCAGCGCCCTTGTGGCACAAGTTTTTGCTGCCCGGCCCCGCTCCCCGCCGCCAGCATTGTGTCCCCAGAGTTCCCAAAGGCTGCCTTATCTCAGATCACTCATTCCTCCAGCAAACATTTCACGGGCACCTAGCATGCACCAAGCCCCGTGCTGACTATCTCACCGTGACTGTGGAGTTAGGGCTGAGTTCAGAACCCAGCCTGAGTTCAAACTCTGCTGCTCGGCTGTGTAACCCCAGGCGAAGGACCTGCTCCTCTCTGAGCCTCGTTTCCCTCGTTGCTCACCCGAGGCTTTTATGGTGGTGGTGTGAGAGCTCTCGGAGCCGACGTGCGAGACAGGCTCAGCACCCCCGGGGCCCACAGTCCCGGCTAACCCCGTCTGGGGCCTTGAGGTCTAGCAGAGGAGACACATGGAAGCTGACGGACCCGAGAAGTCAGATCTCAGTGGCTGCAAGGGCACGGACAAACCCTCCCCCCCCCCCCCCCCCCCCATAGTGCAGTTGCCAACCTCAGTTTTGGGTGCAGAAGAAGGAGCAGTTACCGAAGGCTACCTGGAGGAGGGCGGTGCCAGAGCTAGGGCCAGGTGACAGGTGGACAAGGAGTCGCCGCAGTAGGCCTGAGGAGTCGGGGGCAGCCTGCTGGGGCCAGCGGGCCCGAAGCCCTGGGGAATGCTGGAGCCCGGAGGACAGCGCCAGCATGGCCATGGGTGTTCAAGGATGTCCAGACGGGAGTGAGGAACAGGAGCGACCACTCGGACCCCGGGAAGGAGGAGCCCCCAGAAGAGATGGTAGCCTGGGAGGAGCATGATCAGAGCTGCCCCTTGGGGAGCTCCCAGGGCAGCCACGGGCTTGCCTCCCGCTCCCAGCAGCCACCACGCCATTTGTTACCCCATTCCCGTGGACCTCGGGTTTTGAAAGGACCTTTTGTGCAGATCGTATTTAATACAAAGTCAGGTGATGGCACAGTAAGAAAATCATGACAGCACTGGGTCTGCCAGCCTCCCAGACCCTCCGAGCACCAAGGAGACCAGCGTGGCCGCACTTAGCTGCCAGAAAGCCCTCCGTGGACACTGCTTTGCCCTTATCTTTCTCGTTCCTCTGCAGCTTCTGACCCCACGACCTCCTCAGCGGGCTTCCATTGGCCTCCGAGTTGCTGCTCTCTCTCTGTCCCGTCTCCCCGCCCCTCCCCTCAGATGTTGGCTCCCCCCACCTCGCTCAGGCCTAGGCCCCCTCCCACACACTGCCCCTCTCCCCGGGTGGGCTTTGATTCACGCCAGTGTGCCAGTGACTCAGATGTGAGCCGCAGGCCAGAGCACTTCCCTAGAGCCGCACTGTTCTCTGCAACACCTCGGAGGTCCTACAGCCGCCGCCAGCCCTAGCCCTGCTCTCTCCCACCTCAGCGAGCGACACCCCCGTCCAAGGGACTGTCCTCATGGGAGGCCTGGGCATTGTCCGGCCTCCGGCCCCTCCTCACCTCCGTGTTCACGCCACAGACATTGCCTGAGCACGCACTGGGGTCAGGCTCTGCTGTGGGTGCTGGGACACAGCCGTGAACGAGACAGGAGCGGTCATTGTTCTCAGGGAGGGTTAGTCTCTGGTAGAAGGGACAGACAGTAAAGGAGGCAGCAGCATTGTGGGCAGTGGAGGAAAAGGGGACAGGTTATGACCTCTCAGGAAGGGCAAGCTGGGAAGACTTCTTGGAGGAGGTGCCATCTTAGGCGAGGCCTGAGAAATTAGGAGAGGCCCAGGCACCTTGGACAGAGAGAACTGCGAGTGCAAAGGCCTCGAGGCAGGAATAGATGTGGATGCCGCAGAGAGCAGCTAGGGGGCCAGGATGGCCGGAACGGAGGGAGCGGGCCTGAGATGGACAGAGAGGCACTGGCGGGGCCATAAAGAACCAGTTTGCCACGGGCTCCAACTTGCAGTTTGTTTTCAGCACGAGGGGAGACTGCGGTCGACAGCAGTGTGGGCAGGGAGGATCCTGTCTGAGTTCTGTTTAAGAAGACACCTCTTGCTGTTTGTGGGCAAGGAGTTGAAGGGGCTGAGAGCAGCCGTGGGGATCGAGGCTTGTCACCTCAACGTCACCTGCCTCCCTTCAACCTGTCCTGTCCCCTGCCTTTGTCCTCTCACCCGAGACCTGCAGCCCAGGCTCCGAGACTGGCCTCACTCCACCTGACCAGTGCTCCCAGGTCTCCCCATGCGTGGGCTGCACCCCTGTTCTACCCCTCGGGTTCAGCCACCACGGTGCCTCCACCTCTATGCCACCTGTCCCTTCAGGCCTCAGTGTGAAGGTCACACCCTTGGGAGGCCCTCAGTTCCTCCTAAGCCGGTGTCACCGTTAAGGGACCCTGTTCCTTTTGATCCCCTCTGGTCGCCAGGCCCAGCGTGGCATGCGGTGGAGGGGTGCGCGGTGGGTGCTTGCTGGTGAGCGGGCCTCTCTGCAGCCCTGGGCACGAAGGCAGGCAAAACAGATTCCTCCTTCCTCTGTGAGCACCCTGGGGGCCTTGAGGCTCCCTGCCGGCGGCAGCCCTGAGATCATACAGCCGAGGAGGAAGATGGGCCTTGGGGAGCCCAGGAAAGCAGTGCTAGGGAGCAGAAGGGGCCGTGCAGGGGTGAGCACTGGTTAGGATCTGGACTCACCTTTGCTGGCTGCGTGACCTCAGGCGGCGGCTGCCGGATTTCTAGACATCACCGTGCATCTCTGTAAAAATAGTGGTCCCACCTCGTGGCCGGCCCAGAATATATTCCGGGCAAGGAGGCTGTGAGAGGGGACGTGGGAGTCCCTCAGCGCGGGCCTGGCCCAGGCCCCCATGAGCTCGCCCACTGGGTGCCGGGGCCCTCAGAGGCCTTCTGAACATCGGCAGGAAGAGCGCACGCACCACGAGAGGGATGCCTGGCAAGAGGTTCTCGTTTTGCTTCTCTCTCTCTCCTGGCTTGAAGCGGTGAAGACAGTGGGTGTGACGAAAGCCCAGGTTCTGAGGCCGCGGCTCCAGCCCGGTCAGCTCAGCAAGGCCAGTCTCCGCACGTGCTGGTGCTGCAGCTGCTGGCCCCGTGGGCTCATGGGGTGGTGGCAGCTATAGGTGGTGTCGGAGCCTTGCTCAGCCGGGCACAGCCTCAGGCCTCCCCTCGTTCCTTCACGGAGGTGTGGCCCGCGTGTGTTCCACGCGCACGGCGTGAGGCCTTCAAGTCATTGTGTGCACCCAGGACGCCATAGCACACGCCCTGTCACCCCCTAAGGCTTCCTCACACCCCTGTGTCTGGCCCATCCCCAGGCAGCCGCTGATGTCTTTGCTGTCACCTTTGGCGAGGGTTTTATTTAGGTGGAATCATGCGGGCCAGGATATGGGATGTGCTCTCTATTGTCTGGTCCCTCACTGGGCCCAGGGGTCCTCACAGTCCCTTGTGGTGTCGCTCATGCCAGTGGTGTTTCCTTCTCATGGCTGAGGTGCGGTCCGGGGTGTGGGTGGACAGAGTTCTCGTTTATGCTCACCTGTTGAAGGACATGACACTCCCTCCAGTCTGGATCAGTAAGTCGATTGATCAATTATTTATAAAGTTTATTTATTTTGAGAGAGAGAGCATGCGTGCATGAGCTAGGAAGGGACAGAGAGACAGGGACGGAGAGAGAATCCCAAGTAGGCTCAGCATTGTCAGCAGAGAGCCCAGTGAGCGGCTTGAACTCACAAACCAGGATTTTATGACTTGAGCCGAAATCCAGAGCTGGACGCTCAATGACCGAGCCACCCATCTGGCCCAGTCTGGATCTATTTAAGATAAAGTCACAGCAGACATTTGCATGTGAGTGTGCGTCTGTCCGGTTTTGTTTCTACTGGGTAAATACCTAAGAGGACTGGCTGGGTCGTGCTAGTTCCTGCGTGGGAGGCTGCCAGACTTCACCCAAGAGCTTGTCCCCTGTCAAGGCCCCATGAGCAGTGGATGGCAGTTCTTGATGCTGCATGTTCTAGCCCATGGGCCATGGAAGAGTGAGGTTAGGGGAAGGGCCTCTTTTCGGGCTTTTAGTGGATGTGAACACTAGGCACTGTCTCCTGATTGGGTACCCTGACACAGGCAGAAGAGTAGAGTGCGTTATCATTGGAAAGGCTCTGAGAAGGTCTGCAGTGAGAACCTACAGGGTGTGGTTTTAACCTGGCATCTCCCAGCTAACGGAGTCCTGGACTGTTGCCTCATAGTTCCCTGCCCAGCGAGGAACCCTGGTGTCCCCTGTGGACTTCACTTTAGGAAGTGCTCTCCTTGAGGCATTCCCTGGGGGATAGAGATCAGCATGGCCCGGAGTCTCTGATGGCCAGGGGTGTGATTAGGGGTCCTTGTGGCAAGGGGGGGTTGGTGTGTCTCATGCCCACCCAAGCATCTGGCTGTGGGACTCAAAATGAAAGCAGGCTCAATCTGGCCGGGTGTAGCAACATGGATGGGCCTTGAGGGTGTTATGCTGAGCAAAATAAGTCAGGCAGAGAAGGACAAATATATGTTTGCACGTATAGGAGGATTAGGAGGAACTTTACTGAGGATCAAGGGGGAGAAGAATGGNGGGAAATGGTGGGGGATTGGGAGAGAGGCAAACCATGAGAGACTCTTGAATGCTGACAACAACTGAGGACTGATGGACGTGGGGGGGATGGGGTATGGGCATGGAGGAGGGCACTTGTGGGGATGAGCATTGGGTGTTACGTGGAAACTAATTTGACAAACTATTTGTTAAAAAAAATAAATAAATAAACATTAAAACATTTTTTGACAATATAAAAAAAAAACCCCAAAATGAAAGCAGTCTCCTCCTCCCACCCCTGCCCAGGTGCTCATCTGCCGGAATTACCGTGGCGACGTGGACATGTCCGAGGTGGAGCACTTCATGCCTATCCTGATGGAGAAGGAGGAGGAAGGGGTGCTGTCGCCCATCCTGGCCCACGGAGGGGTCCGCTTCATGTGGATCAAGCACAACAATCTGTATCGTATCCCTTTGCGGGCGAGCTCCCAGGGGCCTCCTGCGTGGGGGTGCCTGCGGGCACCCGAGAGCGGCTGGTGCCTGGCCTCGCCTGCCCAGGGCTGGCCCCGGCACAGTGAGGGCCGTCACGCACACGCTCCCGGAGGAGATGGGCCAAGAACGCAGTGGCCAGTGTGACGGGCGATAGGCGAGGACAGGGTGTGGCAGGGGACCTCATCTAGTCTGGGGACCCAGGAAGGCTTCCCTGAAGAGGTGACATTGTAGGAGACCTGCAGGAAGGCCAGGTGTCCACCATTCAGAGCAGTGGGCAGACGCCAGGGACCTTAGGCCTGGGCAGAGGCTCTGCGGGGGGAACAGGGCTCGTTCTGGAAGCTGTGGTAGGGGTGTGAGAACACCGCAGAGGGGCAAGGGCGTGTGGTGGGAGCGGGCCCAGGTCCGCAGCGCTGCGGGGTCTCGTGGGACATCACCTTCCACGTGATGGGAGGCCTGGTGAGGGACACAAAATCATTTTCTGAAGGTTTCTGGCTGCGAGCAGAGAGCAGAGGCCAGACTGCGAGCGGAGAGGAGCCGGAGTGGGTGAGGGAGGGGGGCTGCCCGGAACCCGGTTGCTCTGCATTTAATGAGCCCGTCCCTGGTGCCTTGTTTGCACAAAACAGCTGTGCAGGTGCTGACCTGCGACCCGCCCTGTCTGGCTCCCTGGGGCCCAGCTCCTGCCCTGCCTCTGCTTCTCCTTCACCTCTCTGGAGGGCCTGGAGGGCTGCCCCCAGGGTACCGCAGGGGCCTGAACCCGGGAGCTGGCTGTCTGGGCGGGGGCTGCCCAGGTGCCAGGTGCCGAGGGGGTGGTGGTGTGAGCCCGTCAGGGAGCCATCAGACCAGTTTTCAGCTGGGCCCTGGCTTCGCTTCTGGCAGGAGAGGTGGTGGCTCACCTCTCCGGCGCTGCCCCGGCCTGCTCCCTAGCTCCACTGTCAAGGGCGGTTTCCAGCCGGCCCAGCCATGTGGGGCCCGCTGGGCCTCCTTAGCACCCTGAGGCGTGCGACCTTGGCTGGGGCAGATTGCAGCACTACCCTGACCGGTCCAGCACCTGATTCCTGTGCTCGGAAGCGAGGCAGACGCGGCCCCCGCCGTCCCTGTCGCCCGGAGCACAGCTCAGCACTGGGGCCTCAGCACAGGGCACGTCCAGGGCCCAGCACGTGGGCCTGCAGCGGAGGAACCAGCCTCCCCAGGCGGCTCCAGGCCCTCGAGGGAAAGAACAGGGAGATGACGTCGGGGCAGGGGGGAGGCTACGCCACCTACTTTGCACCTGTTACCTCAATGACTCCGCTGCCCCGTGCCCCTCGAACAAGTGAGAAATGGAGGCTCTATTAAAACGGTTTGCTTTAGGGGAGGGACCCAGGCTTGCAGGAAGGGCGAGAGCCAGCGTGGGCCCTGGCTGCTTCCCCTAGAGCCTGCTGGGGGCCCTGGACCTCCGGGTGGTCACGAGCTGTTGGCTCTCGGGGAAGGACTAGTTACTGTAGTGCTGCCTTCTGCTCCCAGAATGATCCGCGTGCTCCCTCCCCACCCTGGGCTTCTCACCCCACCACCTGGGCTACAGCTCTCAGCTCTGGTGCCCCCTCCTCAGGGCAGCCCTCACCTACTGCCTCTCTGTCGTTGAGCAAGCACCTCCTGGGGGCTGGGACCATGTCCAGTAACTGCTGTGTCCCGGGCCTGGCTCGGACGGGAGCTCAGGAACCCACCGAAGGCCTGGTGAATGGCTGGCGGTTGGGTTGAGGCAGTTCTGAGCCCAGTGTAGGGGTGGCGGTCCCTCCAAGACAAGCAGTGAACTGGGGTCCAGTCCTCTGAACACTCCTTAACCGTGGCTGCCATGCAGTGGTCGCTACCTCCAAGAAGAATGCATGCGTGTCGCTGGTGTTCTCCTTCCTGTATAAGGTGGTGCAGGTGAGCTGACGGGGAAGGGTGTGAGGCGCCTGGGCTTTGTCGTGTGCAAAACTTGCAGGCGGCAGGGAGGCCAGCGAGGGGGTTGCTGTGGGCTTCCGGAGCAGAGTGGAGGCCCGGCTGGAGGATTGGACCCGGGACGCCTGGGCTGGGCCCTCAGGTGGTCGCGCGTGCAGCCAGCTCAGGAGTCACTGGTGCGGAGCCCTGGGGAGCCCTGGGGGGCGGGGCTGGTCTGGGCCATGAGGACGTGGGGGCCGGAGAGCACGTGTCCCCCCGGGAGCCCGCAGCGCAGGCTGAGGAGTAGGCTCTTGTGCCAGGGGGCGGCGCTGTCTCAGGAGTGAAGAGGGGCTCAGCAGGTCGAGAGGGTGGGGAGGAAGGTCTTCGCCGCTGCCTCCAGGGCTTTCCTTCAGTTTTTGTGCTAAGGAAACTTCTCTCCCTTCCCTTCTTTGATGGACGCAATTTTCTGCTGAACAGGGGGATGCGTGTCCGTGGCCCAGGGAGGTTGGAAGAGTCCGAAAGAGCCACTTTTTCCGTCTCCAGTGGCTCTTACCCCTCATCTGAGTCACTTGTGACTCAGGCAAAGGGTGACAGTTTACAGCGGGGATGGAAGAGAAGCTCAGATGGGACCCCAGCTAGACCTGGGGGTGACTGTCAGGAGGGGAGAGGGGACCCGAGGGAGGTGGAGAAGCAGGGCTTCGGACCAGGCCGCCGGAGGGCGCCCGCACCGCCCGCAGCCCGCTTCCTGCCCGCAGCCCGCAGCCCCGGAATCCCAGGCCGTGTCCGTGACATGTCGCCAGGCCTGGATCGTGGGTGGATGCAGCTTGTGGGCAAGAGGGCGGGTGGCCCTGGGCCCCGGGGCATGAAGGGCAAGTGGGCTTGTGCGGCGGGCCCCTCCCTCGTCTCAGCCCCCCGTGCCCCACAGGTGTTTTCAGAGTACTTCAAGGAGCTGGAGGAGGAGAGCATCCGGGACAACTTTGTCATCATCTACGAGCTGCTGGACGAGCTCATGGACTTCGGGTTCCCCCAGACCACCGACAGCAAGATCCTGCAGGAGTGAGTGGGCCGCGGGGCGCCGGCAGGTGGGGCGTGGGGGGGCGCCGTGCGCTGCGTCCTGCCCTGTGCAGTTGCTGTCGGGCGGGCTCGGATTCCTGGCCGCTCAGCGACCCGTGTGCAGGCCGGGCGGCGCACTGGGAGGCTCCTTCGTTCCGCTCTCACCAACGAGGCTGAGAGAGAGAAAAACATGTCCTTCTCTGCAATCCTGCCCCTCACACTGGGGCCCGCGGACCGAGTGCTTTCCGCGAACCGGGCCTGTAGGAGCGCCTCCCCTTTACTCCTTCACCGTCAGGGGCGCTGCTCCCCATTTACATGGGGCAAAGGGCTATTCAGAGACCTGGCCCGAGCGCTTGTGCCCCAGGTGGGATGAGTCAGCAGTCCGCCCCCAGGGACCCACCCCCTCGGCAGGAGGGCAGTCTGGGCACGCTCCCTGGTTCCCCCGCCAGTGCTGTCTCCTTGCCCCTTGAAAGGAGCGCTCTGGGCTCGTGGTCACTTGAGTCTGTTGGGCCTTTGGGGGAATCCTGAGATACTCTTGTGTCCAACGGCCCGCGTGGGACCAGAGCCCGCCGCGGTTTTCTGGAGGGGCTGTTTTCAAACTGTCTGTGCCTGAGCATCTCTACCCTGGGCCTGGTCCCACAGGTACATCACTCAGGAAGGCCACAAGCTGGAAACGGGGGCCCCGAGGCCCCCAGCCACCGTCACCAACGCCGTGTCCTGGCGGTCTGAGGGCATCAAGTACCGCAAAAACGAGGTGTTCCTGGACGTCATCGAATCTGTCAACCTCTTGGTAGGCTTCCTTCCCATTCTTTTTCTTGTCCTCGTTGAGAAGAATGTGGTCCTCTCCGTGGCTGAAATCAGAACAACTGGACTTTGAGCGCTAGCAGAGCCCTGGGGAGCATCTGCGGCAGCAGATCCACGGGAGTCCGACTGCCTTGAGGCCCCATCCGCTCTGCTTCTGGTTAGGGTCCACGCAGGGGCTTGGGGTGGTGTGGTTAAAGCAGGAGGGGCAGTTAGAGCACGGGGCTCCGTGCTCAGAAAGTCCGCCTCTCTCACGATTCGTGAGCATCGTTTAGGACCTTGCGCTGTAAGTTCACAGCTGGACACGGCCTCGCCGTGGCGCGGGGAGCAGGTGCGGCTCTCCTGCAGCTGGTTTTCTTATGTTGCTTTACTGCTTGTGCATGTTTGCTTTTTCCTTTGATTTCACTTTTTAAATTTTCACTAAGTAAAATTGACCTTTTTTCCTATTAGTTTTAGCTTGCGTACAGGTTTTTGTTCCCCTTTGCGTAATCAGGAAACCCATCGGCTCTAAAACCTCCCTCCTGCCGCCTCTCTGGCCCGCCCCCCCCCAACAGCCACAGCTTTGGTCCGGTCGCTAGCCAGTCGTCCCCGCTCCCCGCTCTCTTTCCCAGCCCCCTGCGGCCTGGGCCCAGGGTGGTCCTCCTGACTCTTGTCAGAGGTCAGTCGCGGCAGAGTGCTGCCTCGCGGTGCCCACGTCGTTCACCCTCACATCCTCACGTAGGCGTTTGTCAGCTCACCGCATCACAAGAAGGGCGGGTACAGAACAGTCCGGTATTTTGAGAGAGAGAGAGAGCGCAGTCACGTACCTTTGGTTACAGTATGTTGTTCTAGTTGTGCGTTTTGTTACTGTCGTTGCTCTCTTACTGTGCCTAACTTGCACTCTAGCCTGTATTGCAGGCGCACGTACTTAGGATCAGGCAGCATGTAGAGGGCTCCATGCCGTCTGCACTTCCCAGGCATCCACCGGGGCCTCGGACCGTGTCTCCTGCGGAGAAGGGGACTTACTAGTTCTGTCTTGTTGAGATTGTCACACGAATGGAGTCACAGAGCATGTGACCTTTCCATCCGGCTTCTTCCACTCAGCATGTCTTTGAGAGTCATCCACGTTGCTGTGTTTTTCAGAGTTTGTTTCTTCTTATATTCATTTGTATTTATTTTATATCCTGAATCACACCGGGTTCGTCCATTCACCTCCTGAAGGACTTGGGGGTCGTCTGCAGTGTTCGGCTGTTGTGAATGGAGGTGCTGCAGACACTCTGTGTGCAGGTTTCTGTGTAGACGGAAGTTTTCATGTCTCAAGGGCGAACACCCAGAACTGGGGTCGCTGGGCCACACGGTAAGCATACATTTAACTTCCCAAGAAGCCGCCAGACCGTCTTGCAGTGGGGCTGCTCCGTGCTTCTCACCCGCTGTGGACGAGGGTGCTGGTGGCTTCACCTCCTCGGTTGCTGTCTTGATTTTCACCATCTTAGTAGGTGTGTCGTGTTAGCTCATCATAGGTATAATTTGCAGTTGGTATAACTTCCCTGATGCTGATGATGTTAAATACGCCCCTGTGTGCTTCTTCGTCACCACTGTATCATCTTTGGACCAGTGTCTTTTCGTGTCTTTTGAGCATTTTTAAATTGCGTTCTTTGTTTTCTGATTGTTGCATTTTGAAAGTTCTTTATGTATCCCGGGTACAGGTGTCTCATCTGGTACGTGATCTGAGAGACTCTCTCCCAGGCCGTCCCTGGTCTTTTCATCCAGGTGGTGCAGTGCCTTTCGCAGGGCAAACATTTTTAATTTTGAGAAATCCAATAATCAATTTTTTGGGGCATGTGCTTTTGGTGCCATGTCTGAGGACTCACCGCTGAACCCAGAGCCACAGAGGTTTTCTAAATTTTCTTCTAAAAGTTTTTTATGTTTAGATCCATGACCAACTTAGAGTTAAGTTTCATATAAGGTATGAGGCTTATGTCCATTTTTTTTTTTGCATGTTGTTCCAACATCATTTAAAAAAATTTTTTTTCTAATGTTTATATTTGAGAGAGAGAGAGGGCAAGACAGAGTATGAGCTGGGGAGGGACAGAGAGAGACACACACACAGAAGCAGGCTTCAGGCTCCAAGCTGTCAGCACAGACCCTGATGTGGGGCTCGAACTCCCAAACCGGGAGATCATCACCTGAGCTGAAGTCAGATGCTTAACTGACGGAGCCACCCAGGTGCCCCTCAACATCATTTTTTGAAAAAACTACCCCTTTCTCCATTGAACTGCTTTTGTGCTTTTGTAAAAAATCACTTGGCCATATTTGTGTGAGTCTGTTTCTGGACCCTCTTCTGTTCATTGATCTTTATTATTCATTCACCAATAGTGCACTGTCTTTGATACCCGTAACTTTATTAAGTCTGAAAATCAGGTTATGTGACCTTTCCAACGTTCTTCTTTTTTCAAAATTGTTCTAGCTATTTAGTTCCTTTGCATAAAATATAAAATGTTAGCATCAGGAGGCACCTGAGTGGCTCAGTCAGTTGAGCATTTGACTTTTAATTTTACCTCAGGTCATGATCTCACAGTTGTAGGATCGAGCTCCTTTTGGGGCTCTGCACTGACAGCTTGGAGTCTGCTTGGGATTCTCTCTCTGTCCCTCTCTCTCTCTCTCTGCCTCTCCCCTGCTTGCACACGTGCACACACACACTCTCTCAAAATAAATAAATATTTATTTAAAAATTTTTTTAATGTTTTATTTATTTTTGAGAGAGAGAGACAGCATGAGCAGGGGAGGGTCAGAAAGAGAGGGAGACACAGAATCTGAAGCAGGCTCCAGGCTCTGAGCTGTCAGCACAGCGCCCGATGCAGGGCTCGAACCCACGAATCGTGAGATCATAACCTGAGCCGAAGCCAGATGCTCAACCGACTGAGCCACCCAGATGCCCCAATATATATATTTTTAAATTTAAAACATTAGCGAGGCGCCTGGGTGGCTCAGTTGGTTAGGCATCCGACTTTAGCTCAGATCATGATCTCACGGCTCATTCTTTTTTTTGAAAGTATCATAAATTGTATATTTTAAATTTTACTTGGTAGAATTCACTTGTGAAACTATCTGATTTTTGTTTCAGAATATTTTTAACTACAGGAGTGCTTGGGTGGGTCAGTTGGTTAAGCGTCCGACTTTGGCTCAGGTCATGATCTCATGGTTCATGGGTTAGAGCCCCGCCTCGGGCTCTGTGCTTGACAGCTCAGAGCCTGGAGCCTGCTTCAGATTCTGTGTCTCCCTCCCTCTCTGTGACCCTCCCCTGCTCACGCTGTCTCTCTCTCTCTCAAAAATAAATAAAACATTTTTTTAAAAAAAGAATACTTTTAACTACAAATTTCAATCCTGTAATGGTTATATGATTATTTGGGTTTCCTGTTTCATCTTTGGTGAGGTTGGGTACTTTGTTGTTTTTAAGAAGCTGATCTACTTCATCAGTGTCACTGAGTTCATGTGCGTAGTGCTGTCTGCATCCCTTACTGTTTTTTCAAAGTCTGTGGGGTCTGTGCTGATGCCCCCTCTTTCATTCCTGGTATTGGTCATTTACGTCATATTTCTTTTCTTTTTGTCAGTCTTGCAAGAGTTTCATCTCTTTTATTGGTGATGAATTGGCTTTCACCAAGAGTTGGCTTTTGACTTCATTGATTTTCTGTTGTTTATTCATTTTCAGTTTTATTGATTTCTGCTCTTAGCTCTCATATTTCCTTCTCTCTGATTTGGGTTTGTTTTGCTCTTCTTTTTTTTTTTGGAAGCCGAAGATACTGATTTGAAATCTTTCTTTTTTAATATGAACATATAATGTCTAAGCAGGGCTTTAGCTACATCCCATCATTGGTATGTTAGGTTTTCATCTTTGTTCAAAATATTTTCAAATTTCCCTTGAGACTTCATTTTTGACTTATGGATTATTTTTTTATTATTATTTTTGAGAGAGAGAGAGAGAGAGGAAGCGTGTGAGTGGGGGAGGAGCAGAGAGAGAGAGAGGCAGGCTCCAGGCTCTGAGCTGTCAACACAGAGCCTGACGCCAGGCTCGAACTCAGGAGCAGTGAGATCATGACGAAGCTGAAGTCAGATGCCTAACTGACTGAGCCACCCAGGCACCCCTGACTCATGGATTATTTAATAAAAGTGTGTTGTTTAATTTTTTTTTTAATTTTTTTAATGTTTTATTTATTTCTAGGAGAGAGAGAGAGAGAGAGACAGCGTGAGCAGGGGAGGGTCAGAGAGAGAGGGAGTCACAGACTGAAATAGGCTCCAGGCTCTGAGCTGGCAGTCAGCACAGAGCCCGACGCGGGGCTCGAACCCACAAACCGCGAGATCATGACCTAAGCGAAAGTCGGACGCTTAACCGACTAAGCCACCCAGGCGCCCTGTTTAATTTTTAAATGTTTGCAGATATTTCTGTTATCTTGTTGTCATTGCTTTTTTTAATTGCATTATTGCTTAAGAATATACTTTCTGTGGGCTCCTGGGTGGCTCAGTCAGTTAAGTGTCTGACTCTTGCTTTTGGCTCAGGTCATGATCTTGTGGTTTGTGAGTTCAAGCCCCACATCAGGCTCCATGCTGACCATGCGAAGTCTGCATGGGATTCTCTCCCTTTCTAAAAATTAAAAAAAAAAAAAAAAAGAATATGCTTTTTATAATGCCAATTCTTTAAAATTTGTTAAGGTTTCTTTTAGTGACCCAGAATGTGACCTGTCTTGTCAAGCATTCTATGTACAGTTGAGAAAATGCATATTTTGCTTTTGTTGGGTGGAATGCTCTGTAATTGCCAGTTAAATCCTGTTGGCTGGTGACATTGTTCATTTCTTCCAGCTTTTCTGCTAATTATCTGTTTACTAGTTCTACCTATTGTTGAGAGTGTTAAAAGCTCCAGCACTAATTGTAAATTATGTCTTAACATATTTTGAAGCTATGCAGTTAGGCACCTGCACATTTAGGATTCTTGTGTTTCCTTGGCGAGGTGACCCTTTCTTTTATTGTTATACAAGGTCCCTTTTATAGGGATAAAATTTTTTTTGCTCTGATTTTGCTCTTAATATTATCACTCCAGAGTTTATTCCATCAGTGTTTACACAGTATGTGTTTTTCTATCCTTTTACTTCTTTTCTTAATCCTTTTTTTTTTTTTTTAAAGATTTTATTTTTAAGTAGTGTCTACATCCAACATGGGGCTTGAACTCCAAGATCAAGAGTCACACACTCCATTGACTGAGCCAGCTAGGTGCCCCTGTCCTTTTATTTTTTTTAAAGTTTTTATTTAAATTCTAGTTCATATTACAGGGTAATATTAGTTTCAAGTGTACAGTGTAGTGATTTCAGTACTTCCATATAGCACACGGTGCTGAAACTGGGTCATCTTTTAAAATCCATTCTGGCAGTCTCTGTCTTTTAATTGATATGTTTAGAGCATTTATGCTTATTGTAACTATTAATTTGTTAGAATAAAGTCTGTCATTTTATTCTTTTCTTTTTGTTGCCTCTGTTTTTCATTCCTTTGTTGTTTTTTCCTATCCTTCTGTGGTCTCTTTGAATATTTTTAATATTCCATTTCATTTGTTCACATTGGTTGTTACCATATCTCTTTATATAGTTTTTTTTTCTAGCGTTTACTATAAAATGTGTACTTACCTACTTAGAGTATTTCACCACTTCACTTGGAATCCAGAAACTTTGCTTCCTTTTGATGCTAGAGCTGTTTTATACATTAATCTAGATACACTGGAAACCACTGGTAAGATTTTTTGCTTTCAGTTCTCAAACAGGCTTTAACACCCTCAAGAGACTAACCCATTTAACCCAGACATTTGGCACTTCTGTTGCTCTCCCTTGATTTCCTGACTTCCCAGGTTTCTTTCTGGTATCATTTCCCTTCTACTCCACTTTGCTTTTCCTCCATCTGAGAATGTCTTCATTGCCACTTCATTCTGAAGGATATTTCCATTGCATACAGGTCTGGGTTGACAGTGGTCCTTTGGCTCCTTGAAAATGTTGTTTCATTCCCTCTGGGTTCCACACTTCCTGGTGAGAAATCCACAGTCACTCGAATCCGTATTCCCCTGTAGGTAATACATTGCTTTTCTCTGGATGCTTTCCAGATTTTTTTCTTTGTCTTTAGTTTTCAGCAGATAGATCTTCTCTGTCTGGGTATGCATATTTTCAGGTTTCTACTGTTTGGCATTTGTTCAGCTTCTTGAATCTGTTGGGTTATGTCTTCTACGAAAATTGGGATGTTTGCAGCTGTTATGTCCTCAGATATGTTTGCATCATTTTCCTCTTTCTCTTTTCTTTTCAGACTCCAGTGACATGAATGTTAGGCCTTTTGTCAATGTCCCAAGAGCCCCTGAGTCTCTGTTCATTTTATCCTATCTTTTTTTTTTCTTTGTTGTTTAGACCGGATGCTTCCTTCTGATCTGTCTTCAAGTTCACTGACCCTTTAGTGCTTTATCTCCATTCTGCTGTTGAGCCCATCCAGCAAGTCTTGTATTTCTGTTATTGCATCTTTTAGTTCTAAAATTTTCATTTGATTCTTCTTCCTATAGTCTGCTTCTTTACTGAGACTTTCTCTTTTAACATTTGTTGCAAGGGTGTTTGTAATTTTTCCATAACTGTTTAAAGCCTTTGTCAGATAGCTCCAACATTTGCATCAGCATTGGCATCTGTTGATGGTATTTTCCATGTGAGTTACATTTTCGTGGTTCTTTGTACGCTGAGTATTTTTAGATCATACAGAAAATGTCAGTATTTTTGTTCAAGCAGACAATTGGCCCGGTTAGGTTCAGGCCGCAAGTTGCAGCCCACAATTTGTGGGTCATAAGTATCAGTTCAGTTTTCAAAGCCTTCCTGCCATTTGCTATTTGAGTTTAGCCGAAGGGTGCACTGCCTGGTGGCCAGCCTGGGACCGGGGGGGTTTGTTTCTCAGAGTCTTCAGCATACTAATTAGGATCGTAGTTACTCATGCCCAGTTCTAGAGTGCTCTGGAGCCATAAATAATTTCGTGGGGTTGCTCTCCTGGACTCCTCACTCTCTGCTGTCTATCTGGTACTTTTCAGCTGTTTAGGGCTTCCCTTTTGGGTTCTGTGACCAACTGGGGGCTCTAGATCCCTTCTCTGTGGTGCCTGCCTGCGGCGGCCTGAACCCTGGGCTGGCCCCACCCTCTGGGAACAGCAGCTAGTTGCCTGGGGCCTGGGTGTGAGAGAACCCACACGAGGGGACAGTCGGGGGATTCCCGTGTGTCCTCTGAGCCCCAGGAGTTCCCCTTCTGGCTCTGAAGCCAGAGCTACAGGCTTCCCCCAGCTCCGTCTGCACCCCAGCGCTCACTTCCACTTCCAGGTTTGCTCAGCACTTTCCCATGGGGGGTGGGGGGGGCTGCTCCTACAAGGGCTCCTCCCAGATCCACGCACTGTGCCTTTCAGTCTTTGACGGCTGCCCATGCACCCTGCCCATGATGTAGCCCATGGCCGGGAGGGCATACAGGCTGGACCCACGTTACCTGCGGCGTGCTTGTCTTCAGTCTGCAGATCTTCATGACCGATCAGACCAGTCCCATCATGCAGCTCACTCGACTGTGTGCATTTCCAGCTGCCGCAGACGGTGCAGAAATGGGCCAGCGTGTCTGTCCTCAGACGTGTGGTTGGGGCATCGCCTTTACCTGGGCGGGGTCCCTGGAGTAGCGGGTCCTCGGGTGTGGGATCGGTCACAGTGCTTCCCCAAAAGAGTCTCCCAGTGGACTTCACATAAACATATTTGCCTTCTTACTTTTTGAGTCTTGAAGCAAGACCCTGGCCTCAGTAACCACATGCCCCTCCTGTCTGAGGACCGTTGTCTGAATTGTTTACTGAGCCCAAAACATGGCCCGTCTGGCCCTAGAGTGTCCTGGCGTGGGAAAGCAGATCCCGGGGAACGGCCTGTAAATAGCTTATGTGAAAGCACTGGAGGTTCCAGGGGTGTCCTGACCGCGGCACACCCAGCATGTGGCTGTGCCTGAAGGACCCTGTTCTTCTGCACGCGGGGCAGCACAGGGCAGCTGCGGGCATCCCAGCCGGGCTTGAACACCATCTTCCTGAGTCTAATGGCAGAGCTGGTGGCCCAGTCCACACGGGCCTGCAGGTTCCGGTGACCTGGATGTAACAGTGTCCTTGAGCAGTTCGGCACATATCCCTTCTGTGCCCACCCGTCCTGCTTGCTGTCTGTGATGCAAGGCTGGGATGAGCCTCGTGGGCTGCACGGCTCTGCTCCCCTTCCTGAGCCCACCTTTCCGGCACTGGTGCCCTCATGGGTTCAGTTCCAGAGGGCTGTGCGGTCCCTGCTCCCCAAGGGGTAGACGGCCCTCCACATCTAGGGCAGGCACAGTTGGGAGCGTGGGGGCCCCAGAGCCCGGCCAGCGAGGGCCCATGTTTGCACATGCCTGCTTAAGGACCTTCTGTCCCCAGGCGCTGTCCTCATGCTGGACCCAGCAGTGAGTGGCCTGACGTACCCCATCACCAGAGTGAGACAGTGACAGGGCTGACAAGAGGCAGAGGGCAAGAGGTGGCTGCTGTGTGCTGCGGGGTCAGGGGGCTGCCTGCCCGCCAGGTGGGGACAGTGAGAGGCCAGCGAGCAGGGAGGTGACAGAGCCAGACCTGAAGGGCCTCCTGCCCTGTTTTGTGCCTTCCCCAGGTTGTCATCTCCTGGTGCCCCAGTTCCCCCCTCCTCCAGAGGTGAAGCTCTCATGCTTGCACGTGGTGCTTTCCAGATGCTTGAGTCAAAGGCTGGACAGATTTTCCTCTTTCTCTGCAGAAATAGGCACTTTGGGCCCTCCAGCACGTGGGCGTGGCTAGTGCCTCTGCAGGGTGGCCCACGTGGCCTCCAGGCCGTTTGTAGCCCTCACTCTTGCCTGTGAGAGTGGGTGTGGTGATGCGGGGTGGCAGTCACAGATGTGGCCCTAGGGCCTCCGCCGGCCACCCTGTGGCCTCTGCTCTGTGTCTTAGTGTCGTTGAATCTAAAACGGGCCCGAGAAGAGGTATCCAGCAGTCTGGCTTCCTCAGGACAGTCTCAGGGTTTGCCTGCTGGCCTCTCAGGTGCTTCCTGGCCTGCCCGTGAGGTGTGGGGCTGCCCAAGGCATGACCCTGCCGTGCAGACTATTGGGGTGCGTGGAGGAAGGGCTCAGCCACTCACTCCTGTGACCTGTCATGTAAACGCACTGTCACTGTGGACCAGCTAGTCATCAGACCTCAGGGCCGCTCTGGGAAGCAGAGTGGGGTCAGGGCCCAGGAGGCTCCATCCTGAGGAAGTAGGGGGCATGGGGCAGGGGGCCTCCTCAGGCCCCATGTGGAGAAACAGAGGTCTCAAGAAAAGCAGGTGTGGCCTGCTCCGAGGGCGGCCAGCGTAGCTGGTGAGCAGGCACTGGCGGGGTCCTCACCCGGTGGCTGGATGGGCAGGTGGGGCTCACCCAGCTCGGGATGGAGAGAAGGGCCTGGAGATTTGAGTGGCTGGGTGGGTATGCAGCTGGTGAGTAGGGGCCCCCTTCACGCCCGCCTCGCTGCTCCCAGGTCAGTGCCAACGGCAACGTGCTGCGCAGCGAGATCGTGGGCTCCATCAAGATGCGGGTCTTCCTCTCAGGCATGCCCGAGCTGCGCCTGGGCCTCAACGACAAGGTTCTGTTCGACAACACGGGCCGTGAGTACCCCCGCCAGCCCACTGCATCCCTGGGGCCAGAGCGGGCCCACGCGGGGCTCAGAGCTGAGGGGGGGCACGTGTACCTCGAGTGCTTGCTCCAGAAACGTGTTCACGTTATTACAAGATGACCATGCACTAGTGAACCCGTAACTGGTCATAGAAATACAGAGAGTGGAGATCCCAAGGTCAAGTCCCTTCGTCCCCCTGTGGCCGAGCACACGGGCGAGCGTCTTAGACATCAGTGTGGGGAGGGCCACCCAGGTCCACGACCCGGCCCCGGCCCCGCACCGTCTCAAAGGGAGCTGCAGGCCCAGGGCTAGGCCATGCCTTGTTCCCTCCCCTCCTGCGCCGGCTCCGCCCCCACCTGGGGTGCCACGTCTGGGCTGTTTGAAGGCTACACCCAGCAGCTCTAGCTCTCACCACACAGCCTGCACATAGCACCCCTGTGGTGCCGGGGGGGGGGTTGCAGAGTGACCTCAGGGCCCCAGCGTGTCCAGCTCTGTGTTGACATGTGGGACACCCACCTCCCAGCCCACCACAGGCCTGCCAGCCCTGGCAGTGGCGGCCCCTCCATCACAGCAGGCAGGGGGTCCTCTGGGGTGTCAGCCCATCGGGGTAGCTCCTCTCCTTGGCCGGGCCCAAGCTGCCCGGCTGCTCCGTGGGAGGGGAAACCCAGACAGGAACCCAGAGCACAGCGGGTGACGGTGTGGCCAGGGCACACTAGGGGCCCGGACTCATCCCCAGCCAGGGCTGTGACACCCAGCAAACTCGTCCGGGCCCTGGGCAGCAGCCCTGGCTCAACCCTGGACTGGCTGCTGGGGACCCGAGTGACCCAGGCCGACCAGCCCGGCCCTCAGCGTGTGCCCGGGGTCAGGATGTGACAGGGCTTCCTGGGGGCTGAGGAGGAACGGGGAGGTTGTCCGGGAACCTGGCCCCCTTGGCATTCGTGACGCAAGATTATCTCATAGATTTGAGGGGCAGCCCTGCTCCGCCAGGGGAGAGCCCCCGGCAATGGCAGTGTTGCAGAGAGAGTGACCCAGAGGGGCTGGGGTCTGTCCCGCCCTTACCCCTCCTCCCCTCAGGCGGCAAGAGCAAGTCCGTGGAGCTGGAGGACGTGAAGTTCCACCAGTGCGTGCGACTCTCCCGCTTCGAGAACGACCGCACCATCTCCTTCATCCCACCCGACGGCGAGTTCGAGCTCATGTCCTACCGCCTCAACACCCACGTGAGTGCACGCCCCCGCCCAAGGGGCAGGCTTTCCTCCAGGGCAGCCTGTGGGAGGCTCCAGATCCCTCCGCCCCCTCCCTGGTGGGCGGGACACCCAAGGCACCCAGGCTCCGTGGGGCCAGCGTTCGCAGCCCGGGGCCCTGACCTTCCCAAGGGACCAGACGGCACTGCTGCCCCCATTGCAGGCAGCCCTGGCCGGTGATGTGCTCTGCGTTTTCACGGAGGCCCCTGTGCCTCCATGTGCGTCCTGGTCTGGCTACACACTCCCCCAGCACCCAGGGCAGTGGCTGTGAGAACGGTGTGAGTGCCGCGTCCGCTCTCCCCAACAGGTCAAGCCCTTGATCTGGATCGAGTCCGTGATTGAAAAGCATTCCCACAGCCGCATCGAGTACATGATCAAGGTGCGTACATCCTGCCCACAGCGTCAGCCTGGGGGCGAGGGCAGGGAGACGGGGGCTGTGGATGGCCCCGCCCGCTCAGGTCCTAACCAGGGCAGGGGTGCCGTGGGGCTCTGTGACCCCTTGTCCGGGGAGATCAGGCCTGTGGCTGAGGTCTATGCTGCCTCACTGACCCAGGGGGAGGAATGAGGAGCCCTGAAGGCCAAGGGGACTGGAAGACATAGGGAGGGTCTCAGGTGGCGGGAGGGTATGAGCTGAGCCTGGAGAACCGGGGTCAGCTTGGTGGGGGCACCCAGGCCAGGGGATGTAGGGTTCTGGTGGGGCCAGGCTAGGTGGGGGCCAGGCTTTCTCCCCTGTGCCGTCTACACCGCGGCTGCATCGGCCCTGTCTCCAGGCCAAGAGCCAGTTCAAGCGGCGGTCAACGGCCAACAACGTGGAGATCCACATCCCTGTGCCCAACGATGCCGACTCCCCCAAGTTTAAGACGACAGTGGGGGGTGTCAAGTGGGTCCCCGAGAACAGCGAGATCGTGTGGTCCATCAAGTCCTTCCCGGTGAGTGCCCGTCTCAGCGGGGTGCGGCTTCCTGCCACACCCTACCTGCTCCCCGTGCCCAGCACAGCCGCCACAGCATGCGGCAGCCTCAGAACCGGACGCAGGGCCAGGACCCCTGCGGACCGAGCGAGGAGAGGCAGCTTGTCTGTGAGAGGCCCGTCTCCAGCATCAGGGCAGCACCCTTCCCTCCCTCTGTCCCTTCCTCCCTCTGTCTCTCCCTCCCTCCCTCTCTGACCCTCTGGTTCAGAACTCAGCTTCCCTTGAGGGGAGCAGGCTGCCTTGAGGCCTGAGCAGCATGGGTTTCGGGACTCCAGCACCAGCTCCAGGAACATGGAGCACTTCATGCTGGCAGAGATGCCTAGCTTGTGGTCAGGATTTTGAGCATTTGAGTCTGGATTTGCAGCACTAGTGCCCAGAGAGAGGAAAGTGGGTGTGTGGGCCCGTGCTGTGCTGATTAGGGCCCATTGTCGTTTTCTCATCATCAACAAGATGAACTCTTTTTCCTATGTCTGAGGGCCATCTGCATTTCCTTCTGTGGAAATTGCAGCAGCTGTCTCCATTTTTCTGTCAGGTTTGGTCATTTTCTTTATTTCTGAGAGCTCTTTATATATGGGCAAGATTAGCACTTTTTCTTTGATACAAGTTGCAAATGCTTTTCCCTAGTTTGATGTTTATCTTTCAGCTTTGTTTCTGGTGGTTTTTGCTGTGTGACCTTTTTTCTTTAAAAAAAAAAAAGTTTATTTATTTTGAGAGAGTGAGGGGGGCACAGAGAGAGAAGGAGAGAATCCCAAGCACGCTGTGCACTGTCAGCACAAGAGCCCATTGGGGGTCTCTATCCCATGAACTGTGAGATCATGACCTGAGCCGAAATCAAGAAAATGAAGCCACTGTATGACTTTCTTAACATTGCTTCCTTGTTTTATTATTGTTGTTTAAAATAGATTTCTCAGTCTTTTCTTTTTATGGTGTCTGGACTGTGAGTCATACTTTGAAAGCCTTCACCATTCCCAGATATAAAGAAAATCACCCATATTTGCTTCTAGAACCTGTATAGTGGCTTTTTCTGTTTTTTACCTTAGATTTTAGGTCCTCTCAGAACTAGGTCTCATAAATGGGGTGAGGTACAGGTCCAGTTTTATCTTTTTCCAAGTGGCTTTCCAGTTTTCTAACATTTACTAAAGGATCTATCTTCTCCCTGGTGGTTGGAGATGCCATGTTTATCAAATATCAAATTTTCATATGGCATTAGATCTCTTTCTGGTCCTGTTGTCTGTCTGTCCACGCAGCAAGGCCATGTTTCAACTCAGGGCTTTAGTCTATGTTTTAACATCTGATAAGGCCAGGCCCACCCCCCAACTCCGCCACGTCCATTTCTTGTCTCTTTCCTGTGATTCTTGCTTGTTTGGTTTTCCTTACAAATTTTAGAATCCGTTTGTGTGCAGTACGTATGGAAGTCCGTTCAGAAGAACACCTTTGTGCAGCTTTGTCCTGTTCAGTAGCTTTGTGTCAGCCTCACCTTTGTGCTTTCTGGGATGTCTTAACGTTTACCTTGTATATTTCACATAGCCTTTCCTTGGTTTTAAAAAGTGCGTTTATTGAAATACAGTGCGCAGAAAAGTACACAAATGGAACGTGAATGACTCAATGAACTTCCTCAGGGGAAACAGCCGCGTGTCTGGAACTAGATAAAAGCCACACAACACCCGTGCCCGCCAGCCCCTGAGGCTTACGAGCAGTTGGCACATTTCTCATGAAGATGATTTCTAAGTCAGGGTGTCAGTGAGCAGGGTCTTCTGTTACCTTGTGTCTTCCAGCGGGTGGCCGATGTTCGTAGGGTAATTTAGTTCGTAGCCCTAGCTCCTCACTGTGTTTTGTTTACGGTAGTTTTCTTTCAAATCCTGTGCATCCTCAGATACCCTTCGTATCATTTGCAACCAGATAAGGGTTTCCCTTCCCTGCCGCTCTTGGGCGTTTGATGGCTTCTGTGCCTCCTTGCTTTGGCCGCTGTCTCCAGGGCCCGTGGGTGGTGGAGAGTGGCCTCTGGTCTTGGCCCAGCTGGAGGTGCCAGGCGTCGTCACCCCAAATCTGACACTGTATTGGGCTGTGGACTCGATCCCGCCCTTACTTTCCTGTGTTTTCGGCACAAATGGGTGACAGGTTCATCCAGATGCCCCTTCGGTGTCTCAGTTCAGGACTGTTAAGCGGTGGCCCTGGAACCATCCCTGCATTCTGGAAAGCTCCACAGGGTCGAGGTGTTTCCTCGTTAAAGCACCACTGAGCTCTGCTAACACTGCACATGGCATTTGAATGCTGTTCACAAATGAGGTTGACTTTTTTTGGTCCACCCTCTGTTCCACCCATCCATCCGTAGGTCCCCTGTGCCCCGTCTCCACGCCGTCCCCCGCACTTACCCTGCGCCCCGTCTCCACAATCGCATCCCGCACTTACCCCGTGCCCCGTAATCACACTGCCCCCCCCGGCACTTATCCCGTGCCTGCGCCCCGTCTCCACAGTGTTCTTGAGGTTGATAGAACCTGGCTCTGTGACCTTCCAGATCTCGACTACTTTACCTCTTCTATGGAAATTGGGCCATTCAGAGCTTCCACTTCTGTGAGAGGCTGTGTGGGTAAATTCTGTTTCCCTTCAAAGTTCACCATTCTAACCAGGTCTTCAGGGTGTCTGCCAACTTGTAGAAAATGTCTGTCTTTTTTTATTCCCCCGTTCACTTAGAAATCTTACTTCCATCTTGGGGCGCCTGGGTGGCTTAGTCGGTTAAGCATCCGACTTTCGCTTAGGTCATGATCTCGCGGTTCGTGGGTTCGAGCCCCGCGTCGGGCTCTGTGCTGACTGCCAGCTCAGAGCCTGGAGCCTGTTTCAGAGTCTGTGTCTCTCTCTCTCTGACCCTCCCCTGCTCATGCTGTCTCTCTCTCTCTCCTAGAAATAAATAAAACATTAAAAAAAAAAATTAAAAAAAAAAGAAATCTTACTTCCATCTTGTTATCTTTTATTTTGTCTATTTGGGCCTCTGTCTTCTTGATAAGACTACCTAGAGGGCTTTTCTTTTTTATTTTTTTTTCTTCCCAGATTTGCTTTGTAATTGTTGTAATATTCCCCAGTCTTTTATAAGTCTTTAAACTTCTTCATCCTTTCCTTGTTCTAAGTTTTAAAGTTAGGTATTTTCTTTTTTCTTTTTTTTTTTTTATAAAAAATTTTTTTTTTTAATGTTATATTCATTCCTAGGAGAGAGGGAGAGAGACAGCGTGAGCAGGGGAGGGTCAGAGAGAGAGGGAGTCACAGACTGAAACAGGCTCCAGGCTCTGAGCTGGCTGTCAGCACAGAGCCCGACGCGGGGCTCGAACCCACGAACCGCGAGATCATGACCTAAGTGAAAGTCGGACGCTTAACCGACTAAGCCACCCAGGCACCCCTAAAGTTAGGTATTTTCATTTGATGGTTTTGTTTTCGAATCTGCATCACCACAAGCGTTTAAGCTGCAGACGTTCCTATGAGCCCTGCCTTCGCTGCATAACCCTTAGGTTCTGACATGTCGTGTTTGGTACAATCATCTAGAAATTCTGAAATCAAACAGAGTGGGTCGTTCTTTTTAAATTTCCTCAGGGAAGGGCCTTCTGTGTTTCCTTCCTCCTCACTGCAGATCTGGAGCACTGAGGCCAGACAGCGTGATTCTTATCATTTCTGTTTCTGGGATTTCTTGAAGCGCTCGTCGAATGCTAATAGGAGGTCAGAGGTTGCAGCTCCCGCGTGCACTTGCGCTTGAGAGGAAGACGGGGTTTCTGTTAGCAGGGCAGAGAGCCCACGAGGCCAGCTGAGACGGTGGGGGGGCGTCCGTCCATCAGCTCGGCCTCCCTGCAGCTCCCGCTGCACCCCAGACGTGTAGCATCCGCTTGGCAAGTGGCTGCCGCGTGTTGGTGTTGTGGCTACTCGGCTACTCGTAGCTGTGACGTCTTCCCCGTGGGTCACAGGACTGCAGCCTCTGGGACCGCGGCCGTCCTCCCCCGCGGCACCTGAAATCCCTGCCCTGCACTCCCCCCACCCCCCACCCCAGGACAGCAGCCTCTGCTCCTGCCTTCGCGCCTTCTCCGGGCCTTCCTCCTGGCGTGGCCTCCTCTGCTTCTGTGGCACAGAGTTGGGCTTTGGTCTGCGAGCCAGCCCGTAGGTGTTTCTGGCCCACAGGGGAATTGCACCTGCTGACGCCGACATGCCGGCCCCCCGTGGGCGAGCAGACCCTCTCCGCGCCCCCCGGAGCTCCTCCTGCTTTCGTTTTCCCTTTTGTCTTTACAAAGGCTTGGATTCGGGGGCTGTTTCATACACAGGCTGCCGGAGCGGATTTAGTCCCTTTGCCGCCTGCTTTGTCTGCGGCCGGGACCATGTTATTCTCCCCTCATTGTCCCAGAGTCTTTACTCAGCACATGTCACTGACCCAGACGGCGCTCCCCCTCTCGCGCTGGCCCTGCCCCGGCGGCGGCGGTGAGCAGACGGACCACTGGCTCCGTCCCAGGAGGGGGGCATGGGCACAGGCCGGGCAGCCGCGACTCGGCTCTGCCCTGCTCTGCCCACTCCCACCAGAGCCCTGGGGCCACCCGGGGTCCTGTGTGTGACGAGGGCTGTCTTCTCTTTGGTCCCTGCTCCTCTAGCCGAGATAACCCGGGCGCTTGGACGTCCAGGCCCAGATGCCTCACTCACATCCCGGCCTGGGCTTCCAGTCATTACTGGGCCGCCTCTGGGAGTAGGACCCGAGCCCAGCTCATCAGTCAGCCCCTGACCTCCGACTTGTTCTCTTGTTATCTCGCCCCGTTCACCATTCCTCACCTTGACCTTTCCCTTGTGCTTCCACGTGCTGCCTGGACACAGGGCACGAGGGGTGCTGACTCGGGCTCTGGGCCGGGCAGGTGGCCTGGACCTGCACTGTGTGTACACCTCGTGCCCCCTTCTCCTTCCTGAGGCGTGTCAGTCTAGGCGTCTTTGCAGCAACTGGTCTTCTCTCCCCGAGAGTTTCTGCAACTGTGTTGATCCTAAGAATTCAGCAGTTTTATGCAGCCTGCGATCGGGCTGGCTCGGCTGGCCGCACAGTCCGAGAGGCCTGGGCTAAGTGTAAGTGTGTCAGAGGAGCCGAGACTCTGGGTGACGCAGCCACGTGGGTAGCGGCTCAGTTGCCAGGCCGGCCACCTGGCACTCTCAGGGGCAGCTGTTGGCTGAGCCAGGCCGGGGCCTCAGCCTGACCATCTCTCCCACGTCCGCTCCCTCAGGGCGGCAAGGAGTACCTGATGCGGGCCCACTTTGGCCTTCCGAGTGTAGAGGCAGAGGACAAGGAGGGCAAGCCCCCGATCAGCGTCAAGTTTGAGATCCCATACTTCACTACCTCCGGCATCCAGGTACGTGCAGCCAAGGCCCCAGAGCACACGTGTTTGTGCCAGCTCGGAGGGACAGGCCCGGGTGTGGGTCCCGGCTCGGGGGGGACGGGCCCGGGTGTGGGTCCCGGCTCGGGGGGGACGGGCCCGGGTGTGGGTCCCGGCTCAGACAATGGGGCCAGTCTGCCTGTCCCAGGGTGCTGCCCTACCCTGCTGCTCTCTACAGGCAGCATGGGCCCACACCTATCCACGCAGACCTCACCTTGCACTTCAGCCCCAAGATCAGAGACTCGTTCAGCCCCCAGAACTAGAGTTTGAGCCTCTGGTGTTCACATACTTGCCACCACGGGGCCTGTTTCCCAAACCCGCAGGGGAGCGCACAGCCTGCTCTTTCCTGCACCTTCTAGCCATGACACCACCCCCCAGCATCTGCACGTCCCAGACAGACAGATGCCCCCGCCCCCCCACTTCCTGGGCTTGCCTGCTCCTCCTCACAGCCTCCCCACCCCTCCCGGGCCCTCCCCACCCCGCTGCAGCCCCCGAGGGAACGATGGGGACCAGTGCGTCCCTACTCAGGCCCTGCTGCCCGTGCCCTAGGTGCGCTACCTGAAGATCATTGAGAAGAGCGGCTACCAGGCTCTGCCGTGGGTCCGGTACATCACTCAGAACGGAGGTGCGTCCCCAGGCGGGGGGGAAGGTGGCCCCTCCCCCAGGTGCAGAGCATAAACCCGACGCGTCCCTCCCTGCTTCCAGATTACCAGCTCCGGACCCAGTGAGGGGCCCCGCGGCTGCTGCTCCAGATGGGGGCACCCGCAGGAAGCACCTGCCAAGCCTGCCGGATGGAGGAGGGGCACCGCCAGCCGCCCTCCCACTCCTCCCGGGGCCCCTCCTCCTCCAGGTGCACCTGCTCTGCCGGTGCCACTCTCGTCCCTGAGGCCCCTTCTCCCAGAAGCGGCTCATCTTTGAGAAGTCTCATCTCTCTGCCCGAGTCGGTTTGAGGGGAAGGAAATGAAATCTTTCCCTCCAGTTATCAAGTACAGCCTTCTGTGCTGTTTAGCTCCCAGGCGCCAGAAAGATGCGAAATGCTTGCCGGACTGCCGGCCGCTCGCAGCAGGCGCCGGGCCCGCGGGGCCGCTGTTTTATTGCCGTTCAGCCGAACGTCGTAGGCTTGTAAGCGTTCCTAGACTTCGTCTTGTTCGTCCATTGCTGTTTACGTGACCCTCACTGTCCGCGCCTCCCGCCACTTGTCCCTAAGCTCCTGGGCAGCACTTCTCGCGGGCAGGACCACACCCCCCGCCCCAGCACCAGCCCTGGGTGACCCTCCAACATCCGGCCGGAGCCTCACGCTCAGTTCTGTGGCTGCACCTTCTGACTGCTCCGGGGGGCTGCCGGCCTGGACGTCAGACTTCAGGAGGTGCCTTCCAGGGTGAGCTGTGCCACGCAAGGACATCACCCGGCCACATCAGTGTTTGTCCCCTGGGGGACCGCCGGCCCCGGAGGGTGGGGGTGGGGGGCACAGGCCACCCTGCTTGTGCTGGGTCACCGCACCACCACCCTGTCTGTGTCCGTGTCACGATTACATTAAATTCCATTACTTAATCCCTGCCTGCCCTCCGTCTGGTCAGCGTGTTGCAGGCTGCTCTGGGTGGCCAGGGGCGGGTGCCGGACTCACATCGAGGTCCTCTCCGAGCTCACTAGAAAGGCATGTTCACGGACACCACCACCCCCACCAGCCTGCCGGCAGAGCCTCTGGGATCAAGGCCCAGGAGAGCACTTAACAGTTTCCATCAGTGACTCACATGTGCACTGGAGTCTGAGAACCGACGCCTGGTCCTCAGCGGGGATTGTGGCGGGCGCACGGGCGGGAAGCGCCCTGTCTCCCCCCGGCAGGCACCGCGTCTCACCCCACTGCCCCGCTGGGCCTTGCCCGGCTCACCCCTGTGCCTCTCCCCGATCACCCGGTGCCCCCTCCGAGGGCTGGTGGGTGTCAACCCAAATACAATCTTGCCCTCCACCTGCGGTGGTAAAGGACGCTGCCCGGGGCTCAGGCCACTGCCCTTCAAGGCCCCCTTGATGCCTTGCCCACATCCACACGGGCCCTGATGGCCTCTCTCCTGAAGACCCTGGGTCCATCACTGCCACCCTGGAGGCCAAGCCGCGGCCTCCAGGGCCCTTGTGGGACAGAGGTCATCCACAGGGCAGAGTGGGGCCTCTGTTCCCAGCAGTGCCTGGGACAAGGCTTTCCAGACCCTCCCACTGCGGGCGTGTGCATACTAGATACAGTAGGTGTAAGAGGAAGATGGGAAATGATGGGCTAAGCACCTGTCTCAAGTTAGGAAAAGAACAACAAAATAAGCCTACAAGCATAGAAGGAAGGAAATAAGCAGAACAGGGAATAGAAGGCAAACATTCAATAAAAAGCAGAACCACGTGTTGGTTATTTTAAAAGATGAATGGAATTCAGAAGCTGCTGGGAGATCTGATCAAGATGACGAGAAGGCCCGAGTCACGGTTGCCGGAAAGTAAAGACCTGGCTTTTCAGAGGCCAGAGCAGGATGGAGGCCGTTTCATCCGGCGGTCAGGCCCTGGGCCGCGCGCCTGCCCCGGCCTCAGCCTCCCGGAGGAGGGGCTGTCCCTTGTCCTGCGCGGGGGCGGGGGAGGATGCTGTGAGTGGCTGGGGGCCGGCACCCTGGAAATGTCAGCTAACCTGGACAGGTTCCTAGGGGCGAAAAAACTGACTCAAAAAAAGGGAAAAAATCTGAATAGTCCTGTAAGCAACTGAAGAAACAGAACCAATCAGAGCTCTGGACCCAGATGGTGTTACTGGAAAAGTTCCACTGAACACTCGAGGGAAAGAAAAGAGTTTAAGAGTCTCTCAAAGAGTAGAAAAATAGGAAACATTTCTTGATTCATTTTGTGAGACCAGCATTTCCTCAAAACAATATGAAACAGGAAAATTCTAGACTGACCTCACTGACAACTGTAGATGTGAAGATCTTAAATAAAATTGAAGGGGGGGCCCCTTGGTGGCTCAGTCCATTGAGCGTCCAACTTTTTTCAGCTCAGGTCTTGATCTCAGAGTCATAAGGTTCAAGTGCTGCATGGAGCGCCCAGCGTGGAGCCTACTTTAAAAAAAAATTATCACTTCAATAGGTGCAGGTAAAAGCTTTGATAAAATTAAGCACTCATTCATGATCAGAAAGAATAAACAACCCTTAAGCCAGCTACAAACTATTGACAATAGTACCCGAAATGAATCCCATTAATAGTGGGAAACAAAAAATACACAAGGCCCCCAGGGGAACTTTATGGAGTGTGTTTAGGGAAGACATAATGGAGAGAGAGGTACGCCATGGGCATCGAATGACCGTCTCAGTACCGAAGATGCCAATATTCCTCGTGGTAGCCAGCATAGTGCCTCCCCAGATGTCCGCGGTCCAGTCCCCAGAACCTATGAATATGTTAAGTTGCATGACGAGATTCAGATCTAATAGGCTGGCCGTGATGGGGGGTTACCCTGACCGACATGGTGGGTCCAGTGTAATCACAACGGTCCTTGACAGTAGAGGGAGAAGCGGAAAGTGGCGGTGTGTGAGGGGCCTGGGGTGTGGAGGAAGCAGTTGCCAGCCAGGGGTGCAGGCAGCCTCCAAAGCCGGGAGGGATCGAGATGAGTCCTGCCCGCACTGTGGCTTTATGTGCTCCAGTGAGACCGTCTCAGGCTTTGGACCCTCAGGATGTGTGAATAAATCCGTGTTGTTCGACGTTTGTGATAATTTGTTACAGCAGCAATAGGAAACGAACAGACTCTTCCAAACAACTTGTAGGTTAAATGAGTTCACAGTCAAAACCCCAGTCACGTGTGTGTAGAACTTGACAAGCAAACTGTAAAACTTCCATGGGAGGTCAAAGAGCCAAGAATAATAAAGAGTCTTGAAGGAGAATAAAACAGGATGACCCATTTGGACATCAAGACCTACTTCATTAATAGTAATTACGGCACAAAATAGGGGCCCCTGGGTGTCTTAGTCTGTTAAGCGTCCAACTTTGGCTCTGAACTGAGTGTGGAGCCTGCTTGGGATTCCCTCTCTCTCTCTCTCTCTCTCTCTCTCTCTCTCCCCCTCCCCCCATCTACATCCCTCCCCCACTCGCGGTCTTTCTCTCTCTCAAAATAAATTAAAAAAAATAAGACACACAGGGGCGCCTGGGTGGCTCAGTCGGTTAAGCGTCTGACTTCGGCTCAGGTCATGATCTCACGGTTCGTGGGTTCGAGCCCCACGTCAGGCTCTGTGCTGACAGCTCAGAGCCTGGAGCCTGCTTCACGTTCTGTGTCTCACTCTCTCTCTGACTCTCCCCTGCTCATGCTGTCTCTCTCTCTCTCTCTCTCTCTCTCTCAGAAATAAATAAAAACATTAAAAAATTAAAAAAAAAAAAGACACACAACAACACACAGTGTGAGTGCTTTAGAATGAAGTTCAAAAACAAGTTCAACCAAGCTGTACTCTTCAGGGATGCTCCCACCACAAGGGGCAAATGTAGAGAAGGGAAGAGGACATCAGAGTGGGTCTGCCTCGGGGGGAGGGCGGGCAAGCACAGGGGCTCTGGATGCCGGCCACACTCTATTTCCTGAGTGGGTGGTGGTGACGTGGGTGTTTGCTCCATAATTCTGTTAAACTGTATGCTTGTGTTCTATGCGCTTTCCAGTATGATGTTATAATGCCCCCAAATTTAATGCCTCAAAAATCAGATGAGTTTAATGTCAGTTAATTCCAGAGGATCAAAAAAAAGATGGAAAGCCCCCAGGTCATTCTTTTAAGCAGCCGGCACTTGAATGCCAAAACCAGTTCAGGATGGTAGAAAAGAAACCGTGGCGAACCTTACGAATAACAAAGCCAAACTGCTAGACAAAATATTAGCGTCCAGGACGGAGCAGCGGCCGATAGCATCCTATGCGGTGACTAAGCAGGGTTCATTCCAGGGACGTGGAAGGCTTCCACAGAGGCCACCCAACCCATGTAACTTGTTCCAGCACCAAACCAAACCATACCCGTTAGTTCCAGAAAGAAATGTTAAGACACGGCCGACCTCCCTAATGGAAACGAGCCCAGAAACAGAAGGGAGAAGCTTCCCCACTACAAACGATCCCACTTCCCGCCAAGCATCAGAAAGGGCCCTTCTTGGAGCAGGAAGGGAGGCTTTATCTGCTGGCTTCCTCCAGCAACGTGCAGGGTGGGCAGGAAGGGCCAGGAGCGGGGCCCCCGAAGCCCCGGGATCTCACAGGTGCGGCTGGGAGCTGCACCTGCGATCTCCGGTAGGGGCTCGTGGAAGTAATGTCCCCGCTGTCCCGCCGCCCTGGCCCGAGTTCCAGCACAGGCCCTGCACAGAGACGTGTTCGCGGCAGCCCCCGCAGCCCTGGTAGAGCGAGCAGCAGGACACAACCCAAACGCAGAGGGGGAGGGAGGGCCCAGCAAGTGCCCCTCCAGGCGCATGTTCTGCTCACTCGGTGAGCGGCCAGGGCTGGGTGTGCTGACACGGCCACTTCCCACAGCCGGGCTCAGTGCACCCCCGCCCCCCAGAGCTGAACGTTCACCCAGCCCGCGACCCCACAGTTCCACCCCTGGGCAAGTGACCCAAGACGAGTGAGCCCGTGAGTCCATGGAGAGACACTGATGGAATGATCGCAGCGGCCTGACTCACGATGGCCCCAAACTGGAAACGCAGACGGTGGATGCCCCACGCAGCCGATGGGACACAGCGACGGAAAGGCACAGAAGCCCACTCCACGCCACCAGGGAAGGGAGCACGGGCACGAGCGACGCAGCGACGGCCGGGGGCTGGAGGGAAACTTCCTCAGTTCTTCAAAGCTTAAAAACTAAAAATATTAATAGTTCACAAATATGAACGATATTAGTGAAATGAGCAGATTGCAGGACACTGTCCATTATTTATACGGAGTTTAGAATCACACAAATATTGTTTATGGCCAACATAGTACGTCATAAAGTATAAGTCATATGAAGGAAGGACTAACTCAAATTCTGGACCGCGGTACACTCTGGGGGTAGAGAGAGACAGCCAGAGACCGCGGGAAGCCAGAGACTTCCGGTCAGTGGCCCGTACGTGGAGATTTGTTCAACACAAAGGGTATCATCGGTGTTTTTGTGATGGCCTAAGATGGCTCTTTTTTTTTTTATTTATTTTTATTTATTTATTTTATTTCTAGGAGAGAGAGAGAGAGACAGCGTGAGCAGGGGAGGGTCAGAGAGAGAGGGAGACAGAATCTGAAGCAGGCTCCAGGCTCTGAGCTGGCAGTCAGCACAGAGCCCGACACGGGGCTCGAACCCACGAACCGCGAGATCATGACCTAAGCGAAAGTCGGACGCTTAACCGACTAAGCCACCCAGGCGCCCCACGGCCTAAGATGGCTCTTAACAAAGGTTGCAATTCAGATCCCGTTTCTTCCCTGCTCCAAATCCCACCATGGCTCCCCAGCGCCCTTAAGAGTGAAACCCCTTGTCCTGTGGGCCTAGCCCAGGGCGGGCTCTGGCTTCCACTCACACCCCCCTTCCCTCCGCTCTCGCCACCCCCGCCTCTCCGCCCCG